TTCACAGTATATTATCCCTGTCATGGTATTGCCTTGTATTGCTCTGACATTTGCCCTGAGGTAGGAACACAACAGCTTTTATCCTCAAGGACAACACTTGGAAGTGGAACTTATTCCTGACGTGTCACAGCTTTAATAACCTGTTGCCTCGGGGTACAAAGAAACACGTTTCCTCTGCAGCAGGCATCAGTGGGATAAACCCAGAGCTAGGAGCACTGGGTTTCTGTTTACAGGATATCCTTCTAGCCAGGGCTTCCCAATAGCCAGTAATTTCCCTGAGCCTCTGTGGTTACTGCTGTGCAGGACTTTTAGATTCCTGAGGACAGGCTATTGCTCATAATCAGGAGTAATCTGTTCTGTGCAGGGTGTCAGCACATATAATCTTCCAATACAAGCAGGATGTTAATTTTCTAATACAGCCATACAGATCTGGAGTGCCACAATAGAGCTTGCTTTTATACATATGTATTAGATTAAAAAAAAAGACCTTTGTGAAAACTAATGTTCCATAGAGCTTCAATAGAAAAGTGAAGCACTTGAGCTCAAAGGGAAAGAGGGCTTAAAATTATCTGCTTTCACTGAAACAATAAGCCACTTGGCACTTTCACCTTGGCCAGGATTTCCATACATTTGGGGGACAGTTCAATTGCTTTTCCACCAAATGTAGTTCAAACAATGTAAAAGGATAAACCAAAATGAGCAACCTACACTGGCTTTCCAACTGAAAACAGTGTGTCCTGAAAATATTTTGAGCAATGGAAGCTTTCCCTGGCAGCTGAATGGTCAGGGATTTTTCCCTTTGTGCATTTCTGGCTGGGAAAATAATTCCTGTGCAGTTCTTGCCATCGTCTGCATAGGGGCCAGTGGTAAAGGCAGAAGAATCTGTTTGCTTGCAGGTTTACTGTAGTTGCTGCTTGTTTTCTCTCAATGAGAAGATAGACTCCTTGTGATGTGATGGGGACTTTGGTCCCATCACATCCGGAGCAGTGGTAAGAAAAGTCTGCCAAAAACTCTGGAACCACTACTGGCTTCAGCGGGAATACACACAGGATCAGCCCTTATGTGTCAGTCTCAGCTACTGCTCTCCAATTCATTATGAGCAAGGTGCTTTTAATATTCACAGTGAGCTCTAGGTCTGTATCTAAAGGACAGTAGCATGCCCTTGTGGAAGAGGAGTTATCTTCCTCCTTCGGACTCTGTGTCAGGACTTGCCTGTGACTTGCCCCAGGGAGAGCAACATTATTTAAGGAACACTGAAGTGCTAGCCTATTTTCCCAGCCTGTAAGAAAGCCTGTTGAATAGCAAACCAGCTCAGTTTTAAGCTAGACAGATCCAATTTTCTTAAGGATGTTCTGTAGATTCTTACTTCTGCTGGCCAGTGACCACCTCTTCAAACCAGCAGGCCAACAACTGCCTCTTTAAACCATCAGGGCTCCCATCAGGTCAGCATTCTTCATCCAGTGCTTCTGCAAGGAGGGCCAGAGTGTTTAAAAAAAAAAAAAAAAGACATCTCTGTGAGTTCTCTGCTGAAGTCTAGTGATTGCCTCAGCAGCAGGAGCTCAGCCCACATCAGAATGCAAGTTCTTCAGGGTCGGTCATCTGTTCTGTTTTGCTGGAAGCTTTTAATCAATGGTCAGAAATGAGAAATGGTCATTGCAAGTTCCTGTACAGCTCCCCAGTGTTAATTGTACAGGGGCAGGATGGAGGCCCATTGCTTTTTTTGTGAATTGCAGAAACTCAGCTGAGGGCAGAACTCAACCCTAACATTTTATTAGGCTGCAGACTGCATGCATGCACCTTACATTCCTGATTATGTTGTATCACTGTATGCTTTTACCCCAGTAATATATGAAAAAAGGACCTTAGGGTGGACATCTTCTCTTCAGAGATGCCAGCATCCTGTCTAGAAGCGAAGAAATGTCATCAGCAGGAATAGAGAGAGGGAAACATTGTGCTGGTTGACCAGTAACTGCATGAATGCACCATATTGCACCAAAACAAAACCAGTGTCACACCAGGACTGTGTTCTTACAGTTCTAAAATCTGTAAGATTTGCACAGTGAAGCTCTTTGAATGTTCCCCAAAGTTGAGTATAGCCCAGAGGCACAGTAAAGTCCATTTCTGTGTTACTGCTTTTCTGTGAGCTTTTGCTAGTGAATCCTCATGAAGGTAGTTGCCTTTAAGTGGAATGATATGATGTAAAAGTAGCTGTGACCAGCATGTCAGATAATTTTATGGTCATGTTTAGTAACGCCCACACCCAGAAAAAAAGGTGTAACGTGGCCCTTTTGTCATGCTTGGTGACCTACGAGATTTTTCAAGAATTGTTTGTTGTGTGTACAATTACACAGTCCTCAATCCCTGTTATACCAAAGTGTCACATCCTTCACAAGTGCCTGCTCTGGTGTCCACACAGTAGAGATCTGATCTCTGTGTTTGTCTTTCTAAAAGACAATCTGAGTTATGTGACTCCACACTCAGTAGTGATTTGAAGTGATTTTCATATAGGCTACTATACCATGATTTTAAACAATAGTTTCTCAAGACATTCCATAGCTTGGCACAATGGAGACACTCTCTTTCTCCCAATGACATAAAGCTCACAGAATACCAGGAATGCAAGAGATCCGTGTTTAAACTCAGCAGAAAATCTGGTCCACCCTAAACTCCTGCCAAGTGCCAGTTTGGAGTGTCACAAAGAAGCTGTGGCAAGGCCCCATATTGAGGCTATTTGACAGCCCCTAGTGATGACATAAAAGCTTTTTTTTATAGGACATTGGTATCCATGGTTCTGATAAACAATCTTGATCATAACAGTCATTTGAAAGACGTGTTTCAGATTCGTGCATAATGTTTTCGGGATCAGTTATTATACAGTTTGTTTCCAAAATTCCACTTCTCTCTCGGATTCTACCTCTAAATATAAATCTAATCCTCCTTCCTTGTCCTATTCTATATATACAGCACACCCACATGTGATAAAGCCTTCTGCCATAGCAGCAAAGAAAGGTGGAGGGGGGGGAACGAAGGCTGTAGCTAACCTGTGGGAGCACTGAATGCACTTGGCTGCTGCTCATAATGCTCCAAAGATATAATTATCACATGCATGATGAGTACTACACCTGCTGCATCTCTTTTGCTTAAGTAAATGATTCCTTAAAACACCACAGAGCTGCCTCACTTGGAAACTATTAACCAGAGAGGTCACCAGAGGACTTCACACTCCCTTGTCCTTCCCCTTCCACCAGGCAGGTTTACTAATGCATCTCTCTCTTTCTCTCTCTCTCTTCCCACCCACTCCAAACTTTTCCTATCAAAATCCTCACCACCTCCTTTCTGGTGCCCACCTTTCTCCTTCATTGTGATTTTTTTTCATCTTTTCATTTCCCCTATCTTTGTCTGAGCCTTCTTTCCTGTTGCCTGTAAATCTGATCCATTACAGTTTGTAGGTAGTGCTCATCAAGCCAGAGTTCTCAGTGAGAAGTGGGATAGCTTTAAGGATGTGCTTTGTAGGTGCTTCACTTGGCATCTGTCATAAAGCTTGCTTTGTCTGTGCAGCATAATTTAGCATTCTGTTCCACCAGTGCGTTATTTCTTCTCTATCAAGAGCCCTGTGTGTGTCTGTAACCACACTGCTGCCTAGTATGTGGCCTAGACAGGCTGCCTGTGACACAGCAGGAATGATGTATTCGGTGCAAAGGCTTCTTGTTTGTTGTTTGTGTCTTGGACCATCTGCTGGTGAAATTTTCCTGTCACTGAAACCTCTTCCACATAAGGAACCTGACCCATCGCTGATTACTTGTCAGTAACTGATGTCCTCAAGCAGGGACTGACCATTTTTAAGTCAGCTGCAGGAAGTTAGATGCTTCGAGAATCACATTGTCCCATTGTCTACTAACAGTGAATCCAATTTTAAGGCACTACAGTAAGACCTTTGCTGACTGTTGTCAACAATGAATCACTTTCCCATCATAGATGGAACCTTAAGAAATGCTTCAACGCAGCAGAAATGTCTTGTTCGTAGTCGCTCCCCATATTCTCATTTCTTCTGATATGGGTAGTGGATCTTGCAGCTTCCTAAATCACCTCTGACTCATGTCTTTGTATTCACTCACATTTATTTCTTTCTGTGCATCATTGTGGACGTACCAAAAGACAACCAAAGAGTTCAAAGGCCTTGCAGGACATGTGTCAAGCAGAGCAAGGTTGTGGTTAGAGTATTGGGGTCTATTTCTAGCTTTGCCTGTGACTTCTCATAAAAGGTTAATGAGATTATTTAGATGAATAAACCTAAATGCATGAAATTATATATTTGAACAGATGGAAACGTGGCCAAATTTTCAGGAGTGCTTAATTCTGAAAATTTAATTGTTAGCAACAGAATCTTTTTTACAGACCTGTTTGAATGCAAAGCAATTTACATGGATAACAAAGACAAATAAGAGTTGATATCTAAGTCTGAAAATATCCATCAAGCACTGTTTTTCCTTCAACTGCTGAAAAAAAAAAAGGCATTATTTTCTCTGTTATTATGGTTTCATAATGTGCTTATATATCCTGAAGTGATAGGTGATGTGTGAAAGCTGTCTGTATCAAGTCATACATATTTTAATATATTAAAAAAATAGTGACTAAAAAAAGAAGGAAAAAAAAAAAGGGTGATACTTGAGAAATAATTTGTTAGCAGCAGTAGAGTGCCCCTAGCATTAGGCCAGCCTTTTATTCAAGAGAAAAGCTAGTTCACTGATATCTATAGATGGTAGAATCCCATCATGGCACAACTCTTGCTTCGTGACTCCTACCACAAAAATCAAAATTTCTGGATCAGGGAATTCTCCATATCCAGTGCCTACACTGACTTACAGCAGACTCAAGAGGAAAACAGCATAGATTAAAAAATTAATTCAGCTTAACTTTGTTTCTTTCCGTTGCTATTTTCACAAAAGCCTGGGAGGTATGAGACAGCTTCAGAGACTTTAATGGCAATTCTTGTCTTTCAGGCACCGGATCTCCAAATCAAAATTTAGGTAAGTAAAAGTGATTTTTGCTTTTCCTCCTTTCTGCTGGATTTGTTCCTTACTTTGTGAAGTGGTTTACTCCAGCATCTCTAGAGTGCAGTATTGATTCTAGGAGATACTGCCAAACATGTTAGATTTAGTCAAAAATCAAGATTGTTTTTCTTAGTTTTATACTGAAATAAGGCACAGGGACTACTGACATTATTCCTCTCAGAAGTGCCTATCTGATTGCTACCTACATATCTCGAACCATAAAACATAATATCAGAAGTAAAGTTCAACCACATAATTATTCTGCATCCATCAACTTCAACCCTGTCAGCTCAAGGCTCTCTTTCTTACACTTTGTTGCACTACTCTGCTTTGCTTGATTGTAAATATTTCAACTGATGAGGTTTGCATTTTATTTGTGAAGTTCTCCCTTTCACCCTGGGACATGGGGAGTTTTTCTGGTTGTGTTTGTTTTTCTGTTGACTTTACAGCTTTTGAAAAATCGAAGCAGTCCCAAGGGGTTTGCATTGGAAAGGCTGACTGAACTCATGGAACTTGGTTGCTAAAGTCCATTTCTACCTTTTTGGTTGGAGGTTAGCTGCCTCCATAAATTCAAAGTCAGTTTTATAAAAAGCTAAAATAAACTTAAAAAACCCCTAAAACAAAATTAATTTTTAATATAACTGTAATGAGTAACTGTGTCCTTCAGCTACCTAAATAACAAACAGTAATAAAAATTTAGGGATGCACATATGTGGACATCCTGCCTTTATGCATCCCTGTGTAAAGAGTGTAGGTGTGAGCACAGGAAACCACCGTACATCTTCATGCATGCACATCTGTGCACAAGTACGCACCAAAGTGTGTGGGATTCCTAAGGGTTTAATGACATCATTGATGTCTAAGTGTTGTGCCTATTTTGGAAGGTGGGAAGATCTTTTCTATTCCCAAGTCTACTGCAAAACACACAACCCTTTCTGAATGTTTGTGATAGCTAGTCTGGGTGCCTTTATAAATTGCACAGGTAAAACACTCCAAATTTGATTACCTGTTAAAATGCTGTTGCAACATTCTCATTGACATAGTGTTCATGGTGCCTGGCTTTAGTTCATTAGAGATGCTGAATCCTGACCTCAAGCAGGGCCATAGTTTATTGCTGAAAATAATACACAAGAGAAGAACAGACAAGAAAAGTTCTTTCTCTCTGTAATGTTGTGTATGTGTATGTCCCTTCAGAGACACACTCACACATATGTATATATTATCTATATAAAACTATTAGATTTATTATACAGTGGCAAGTGTTGCCTGGAAACTGGTTGCTATGCAAGTTAAATTCTGAGGAGTAGGAGGTGTGTAATTAGCTTTAAATATCTTCTGTGGTTAGTAATTACCCTCAGAAATCAGTGACACAAGGGGATGTGTTCATGGAAGGCAAACCTTAAAAAGTCTGTTGATTAGCAAATGGTACCCTTAATTCCAGGCATCAAGGTGAGATGCTGAGGTCCCCTAAGTTTTGGGGTTTTGTTGTGAATTAGGCCTTGTTCTGGGTTTACTCCTGAATATTGCTGAATGTTGGAAATGCTACATGGATTTTATTTGACCTCACCTCTCCAAAGACTTAATCCAAAGATTCATGTGGCATAGTGGGTATCTTTTCATTGATTATCCTGAGGCTGGGCAAGCTCCCATCGCAGGCTACAAGCATCAAATACAAGGAGAATAATTATTTTTGTGGGAACTACTCAGTTCACCACAAAAACCCCTCCGGATATCTGCAGTGGTTGTCTTAATCAGATTAAGGTATTGCTTGAAGATGTTGCAGATTGGTTTAGGACTAATTTTATTCCTGTAGATAAAGGAAGGATGATCGCAACTGTCGACTCAGATGAGAATGAGAGAATGTTTCTCAGGGTGAACTTTAAAGTTATTCTCTACTGCTCTTGAACGATAAATCAAGACTAGAGTCTCTCTTGGCAGAGAGTTGCAATAACCTATGGATCCCTATCTGAAAAGAACTTTTCCTTTTTCAATCTTTCAAGTCGCTACTGGCGCCGATGGAATCGATTCTGCAGAAGGAAGTGCCGTGCCGCTGTCAAGTCCAATGTTTTCTATTGGTTGGTGATCTTCCTTGTGTTCCTCAACACCCTCACCATTGCCTCTGAACACTACAACCAGCCAGACTGGCTCACGGAGGTCCAAGGTGAGGAGAAGCTGATGGATCTGTTTATTATGATCAGTGTCAAAAAAAGGGAGCTGGGAGAGGAGCTGGTGCATGAAAGCACATGATGTAAAAGGAGCACATGCAGGTCTGAACAGTCCTCTGACTGTGGAGAATCTTAAATAGCACAATAAACATCCCTGCCTACAATGGGAGAAGTCTTAGGGAAAATGTAAGTGCCTTGTTTCCAGCCAAAGCGGTGTTTCCTTGAGTGTAAGTGAAACCAGGAACTGATGCTAAATATATATTTGCAACTGGATTTCCAATTAATGGATAGCTACCGAGAGCCACGCGTTCTCCAAGGTTTTCCCTGAAATGGCATTTATGATAATTTCTAATTATTAGGGAGGTGATGAAGAGTGATTTGTAAAGTTCTCCTGTCTGCAGAACGGTTGAATTCTCTCTGGAGGTGAGAGCAGCTGAAAGGCTTAATTAAGCAACAGTAGGTAGCACAGCAGCTCTTCTGTTCCCACTCTCCCCTGCAGATGACAAATGTGATGGGAGGTTGTGCACAGGAGGGCACGTCCCTGCCGCTGGAGGTTGTGTGGTTGTGTAATACAATGCAGCTGGATGTGCAATACATAAGAATTGCTGTAACCATCCTGGTGAAGCACTTCTGTGAATGAGATGCCCACGCTTTTGAAGTTCATTCTTTGAACCAAGCTTATATGAAGTTAACTTTTAAGGCTGATCCCCAAAGAGGTTTCTTAAGAAGCAAGGGCTGATGCTTAATCGTGGTGATCTTTTGACTAAGTTTCCTTAATCTGTTCCTTTTTGTTTTTCATGAGACACTGCCAATAAGGTGCTGCTAGCTCTTTTCACGGCAGAGATGCTGCTGAAGATGTACAGCCTTGGTCTCCAGGCCTATTTTGTGTCCCTCTTCAACCGCTTTGACTGTTTCATTGTGTGCGGAGGAATCCTGGAAACGATCCTGGTTGAGACAAAGATCATGTCACCGCTGGGCATTTCGGTTTTGAGATGTGTCCGACTCCTAAGAATATTTAAAATCACAAGGTACTCTATTGCTTCTTTGGGACTGGAGGAGGGCTACTGCTCAGTGCACAACATAGATAGGTACAAGTCACTCACGTCCCTGGTGTTTTTCACTTTTTCTACCACTAATTGTGTAGTGAGAGTGTAGGTTGACAGTCCTCATCTTCTGCTTTCCTGTAACGGGATGGGGAGGACTGTATAGACTGGATATCCCTGATGTGAGTGATTAGGATTGGTGAGGAGTCTGGCATAGGGAGCTGGAGACACTTGCTACCGTGCAAATTATTAAACTGAAACCTGGAATGGCAATGCGAGCTGAGATTGGGCTCTTATGGTTCCCTGCAAAAGACAAAGCAAAACTAAACCAGCAGATAGCCTTGTGACCTTCTCTGATGCTTTCTGGAGACACAGAGGAGCCTGAAAGACTGCCTTGAGCTAAAACAACATTAGACTGAGGAGCCCATGCCAACTTCAGTAGACTCAACAGTGGCCTGAGTGGGAGATTGTGTCAACACCAGCAGCTATAGGCGAAGGATGTTGCCAGCTATTCCCCTTCAAAGGAGTCCATCATGAAGCAGCAGCTTTATGAACAAACCAGACTTTTCCCAGATTCCAGTATCCCCTCTTGTTCCTTTTCACTCTTTCTCCTCTCCCTCTGCATAAAGGTGCATTTAATACATGTATATTAAACAGGCTCTGCTTCCTTGAGTTCAGGTGCCTCCAAAAACACCAGGTTGGTTTGGCAGGGCTTTTTCAGCTTGAGAAGAGGTTGTAGGAGAGATCAGCTCTAAACTTAACCAGATGGGAGCTCTTGGAACAAATTTTACCCAAATGCTTACCCCCAGTGGCACAAGGTCTGCCTTTTCCCATGTGGGCACCAGTCAGCACCTTATAAAAAGCTTGTCTGAGGTGGTGAAAGAGTGTGTTTTCTGCATGCTCAGCTATGAAAATGTCCCTAAAATTGCTGTAACACACCCCTTCAAAGGAAACTTCTGACAAATATGAGATAAAAACACACAGCACGTGAGGAAAACAAAGCCCAAACTGGAAGACAGTCAAGATGTCAGAGCTGAGAGGCAGAAAAAAACACCCGACTTGGACTTGTTCACCATAAAAGATTTGCCCTTAAAGTTTCTGAGCCTCAGCTCTCTGGCAGGATGGATGGTTTTCAGGGTCAGATGGTGGAGACAGAAAATCAGTTTAACAGTCTCAGAGAGAGAGGCCAAAGCAAGCCTACAACTATTAGAATAGGGGGAAAAAAAGTGGTCTGTTTAGACTCGTGATTATAGAAGAGGGGAAAACGTTCCAGCTAACAAGAGTTTCCAGCCAGAAAGGCATCTTTGCTCTTTCAGAAATAGTGGGGATCTCTGGTCTGCTGACTGTTTTTCCTGGATCTTTGGGTCTGAAAGCTATCATCACCAAGTCCCAGGCCTGGTTTCTGAGGAAACCAGGAGTTGTTTCAGGCATTGGGTAATCAGGTACACCCGGGGCAACATACCAATAGCTATAAAAGCATAAGCTTCAACATAGCATCCTGGAGAGGTCATTGTTTTTTCAAGACATTTCTCCACTCCTACACAAAATATATAAGCTAGCTAAGAGAATTCTCTAATAGAAAGGCAAACACTGAGAGAATAGCAATAATACTTTGAAAAGCTTGAGCTGTTGAAGTACTCAAATATTCCTAAAGCTTCTGGAAGAGATATAATGATGGAAGCAACCAGCAGTGGGACTACTTATATTTGCCTTCATTCTGCAGCACAATTAGAATACAATTTTTCATGGAAACAAATGTTACCTGGAATATGTCTCCTGCAATTTGTGCATGGGTCTATGTGGAAAACACAGAGATGAGGAACAACTCATACTGCATAATGTATTAATCAGATTTTGCCCTCTTTCCTGTTCCTGAAATGTTGGCAAGTAGGTTGCAGTAGTTTCAAATTTATCTGTTTTGTAATTATTCATAATTTTTTTCATGATTTCTTCCCTCCGTGGGTGAAGTCCACCCTCATGTGGAAATCCCTAACACAAGCCTCCAAAGCAGTATTTTAGGCCCACTCATGTCTTAATGAAGAAGAGAATATTCTGGCCCTAAAGCAAAACTTCTACCTTAATGTTCTCCGGTAAATGACCAATTTTTCCATCATTCACTCAGCTCTAAATACAACGATTTATTGATGACATTATCAATACTGGTGCAATACACCACCTGAGTGCAAAGATAATACAGAAAGATACAATATTAGAAAACTGGGAGGGTAGGAGGGGTGATAGTGTAGTGTTTTATGTCAAATATATATTCACCAGCAGTGACAGGGGGACATACAGTTAATCAAAGGCATTAAAAAAGCACAAAACAGGAAAATTACTCTGGTAAGAATATATCGATAGGTTGCCTATTCTTTATATATTTGGAGGGATTTTCCATGATAAACACTGAGCACAAACAAATTCTGCATGGATCAAGATGATACAATTCTAGGAGAAACACAAATATAGCTCCCTAATACAATAGAAACAAATAAAGACACCATCAGATGAACAATGTATCATTTTAGAAACCACATTTAGTATTTTGAGAACAAACATTTCTTCCAAAATTATAAATACATTAGACAAGCAGACAATATAATCTGTTTGGTTTATTCTCCCTAATTTTTAAAGGGCTGTGCAGAACATCTCCCTCTTTGCTATGAGAAGACAAATTATTTTCTTATTATAAATAGTCCTTTACTGCGTTATAAATCCCTACATATAGTCCTTTATATTAAAAAAATAAATCATATAACTTGCAACAGCATACAGAAAGTTGATGGTTTATACCTAATCCTGCCACCAGATATACACTGTTAACTGTAGGGAGGAGAGACAGGGTGCCTTTTTTTTGTACCTGCTTTCAAAGTAGTTTTATATTGCATGAACAGTGTGGGAAACTTTCCTACTATGAGACTGCCAGCTGTTGCTGCTGCTTTAAGCTCTGCATCTGTGATTGCCAGTATCATTAGGACATTGTGGAAGGCAATGGAGAGAGAGGAGAGGGAAGAGAATAGAAAACCACGTTAAGTTCTAATCCATTTCTGCGATTGATTTTTGTGTGAGGTGTTGAGCAAGCCATTTAATTCCTCTGCATCCTTCCCCCACTTTGAAACAGAGATCATAATCACATCCTGCTCACTGGTGTTTTGCCCCATTCACTGGCATCCTCAAGGGTCTGAGCTCTGCAAGTGGGGGCTGTTAAAAACCACGTTCATTTCCCTGAAAGTTTGAGGCAGCAGCAGTGCTCTCTGTCATATTTCCCATTATACACTGCCTGGTCCAAAACTTCCCATTCTGTTCAGCAGTGCTGCGTTTTTCCTTTGCAGTGAGTTATTAACCAGGGAGAATTAAGTATTGAGAGACTTTTCTTTGTCTGGGCTTCAGCCATTGCTGACTTAAAAACCTTGTGTTTCATTGAGTAATCCCAGATCTCATTTTGAGAGAGTGTTCATGTTAATTCTGCAACCACCTAATGTCAGCTAATGTCACAGATGGTAACCTCAGGTCAGACTCCTAGGTCAGGGTTCTAGGACCCTGAGATAAGGCAATTGTTATTTTCACATCTTAGTCAAGTCAAGCCTTCCTTATCCTCTCCTTTTTCTTTTTTCTTTTTCTTTTTTCTTTCTCTCTTCCCCCCCCCCCCCCCCAGCTGGTTTATTTACTTTTCTAATGGTGCTGTATTTCTAGCTAGCACTCAGTACACAGACAAAACAGCACTAATCTTATCACCAGGCCATCTCAGTTAATTACTTTAAGTTTGATAGTCACATAAGAATCTGAATCTCAGGTATTGAGCAATTTTTAAGAAATGGAGAGCTGATAGAAGTCTGCACAGTTGTTTGCTGAGATTACAAGGCATTTAAGCTTAAAGTGAGTCACTGGGACTGATCAGATGTGTAACAGCTTTCCTGCATGCTCCTTAGGGGCACTGCTAGAAGGGCCTAGAAAATGTCTGTCCTGGCTGACATTGGAGGGCTTGGAGAAATATTCTGGAGCCCATCAACTTCTGCTTTAAGGATGCTGAATTCATTCGACTTCCATCAGAAATGAATTTTTCCCTTTTCCCATGTCACTTTCCCTTCTTTCTAAAGTGTGATAGTATGTGAGCTGTAAGCATAAATGCAAACACAGGGAGCTGTTACACTGCACATTGCGTGCAGATATTTGGTGGCACTGAGCCCAAGAGCTTCCATGCCCTTACCTTTGCTCTGTAGTTTTTCATTGCTCATCTCTTTAATTGCAGTTAAACTTTAAAGCACTCTAGTTTTCTCTGAAGTGCTGAAGCTGGGCTGGAGGGAAAACATCACAGTTCTCTTTGAAGCTCAGTCCTTGGAGATGAACCAGTTGCTAAATTTCAGAGGACACGGCAGTGTCCCTCTGCAGATCAGATTGCTAACCTTCAGAAAGTGATTGCGCTGCTCAGGCAGTCCTGTCTTCCATGGGGCAAGAAAAGTACTCTTTTTACACTGTCACTTTAAAAATATTAATTTAACTGGGATTTTAAGAACTCTTGTCTCTAATAGGCATATTACCTTCAGAAAAAAATTGCGTGTTGAAGGATCAGGCTTCCTCAAAAGAGCCAGAGCACTGGACATGTCTGCCATCCTTCTTACATGGAACTCTTTCTTCAAGGTCAATATGGTTAGAAATGCAGAGTCTTCTCAGTAAAGAAATGTTCAGTGTTATGGGAGAAGGGACTGGAGGACACTGGCCATGGTGGAATCTCAAAAGCATGGTGGTAGGCGAGGTAGAAGGAAGACACAGAGATCACAGGCAAGCATTGCTGGCTTGCTGACCTGTGAAAGCTGTTGAAGCTTGCTAGTAATGTGCAGTGAAATGAGGCGATTTGAACATGACAGCTAATCTTCAGCCCAGTCTGAAAGCTCTGCCAGACTAAAAACATAAAAGAGAAGAGGCCATGACCAGCTAAGCAGTAGAATAGGAGTGGTTGAGCAGATGCAAGTCCGAAGTGGAAATCGCGTCATGGGCAAAAAATTTAGAAATTTTTTCTAAAGCCTCTGTCCAACCCATGACTCCCTTGCAGGCTGGCAAAGAATGCAAGCAAACTTACATGCTGCAGCAATCATGCTGCTGGCATCTCTTTGAACCCTGAAGTGGAACCAGAAGGGCAAGAAGATCCTTTCTCTGCATCATACATGGCTCTGAACTGAGCACAAGCCTGATACACTGGGGAGAACAGTTCTTAGCCATCCTGTCTCTTGAATGAAGTGCTTTCAAAATGTTCTGCAGCCTATTTGAGGAAGGATAGTAGGTTTGATACCCAAAGAAAAGCAGTGAGTGGTGTGCCCTTCCAAAGGGATGTAGATCTGGAGTCTCTTTTAGGGTCCACGTAAAATTAATGTCTTTCTCATTCCTCTCAGTCCCAGAAAGCTCAGCAACTTCTCTCCGTGAGTGAGCCCAAGCATATACTCACACACACCAGATTTTGGGCAAATTTGTATTTGCATCCAAAGAGTTGCTTCCCCATCTGTTCTTGTTGGTTATTGCAGGCCGTTCTCTGGAGTGAGGTATTCTGGCTGCCATAACATCTGCGAGTGTTGTAATGAGGTTGGTTAGAATGTAACTCACTGAAGCAGCAAGAACTAATCACTGTGTATTGATATAAGATGTGCAGAGCCTGAGATGGAGAGTGCTGTAATAATCTTCTGGGTGTGTATGTGGAGTGGGGGGTGGAGGGAATTGGGTACGTACACGTGTGGTAGTAAAATTACTCATTAGCTGCAGTAGGTCTCATTATCTTAGGGAAGCACATCAATGATTCACTGCTTAACAGGGTGTTTGGAAATGCCTGCTTATATGCAGAAGGCAGCCTGAACCAATATCCTGTACAGTCCATGAGCACCTGTCTCAGATTGAGGGAATTTTAACCGCTTCTATTTTCTCTCCCAGATATTGGAACTCCCTGAGTAACCTTGTGGCTTCCCTCCTGAACTCAGTTCGCTCCATTGCCTCTCTCTTGCTGCTTCTCTTCCTCTTCATTATCATCTTCTCACTCCTGGGGATGCAGCTCTTTGGGGGCAAGTTTAACTTTGATGAGATGCAGACCAGGAGGAGTACATTTGACAACTTCCCGCAGTCCCTCCTCACAGTGTTTCAGGTAAGGGCACGAGTGGTCCCAGTGGGGCCAACGCTCTGTGTTTATGTGGGGTGAGACCCTTCCCCTGCAGCCTGACAGTCCCCAAGACTGGACAGCACACCAACAGCTCCAGGAGCAAGGTGCCAAACTGTGCTGCCAGCACAGGGTATCCCCTCCCAAAGTGGGGAAGCAAAGATAAAACCTCTGTGTGTTCCAAGGCCACCACGTCTTCTTAACAGGGTAGGACAAGAGAAGAGCCACTGTCATGTCCCAGGGCAGCAAGCCAAAGCCCAACCCTGCCACTGTCCTGCCCCCTCCACCATACTGGGGAACAAAAATCTGCTCACAGCACCACAGAAGTAGTGAAATGGCCCTTAAACCAACTGCAGTTTTGGGGGTGATCCACCAAGAGCATCGGGATTGTGATTTCATTCACATGCAAAATGAAGGGAAGTGGCAAGGGAATGCTGTGCTGAGGGCAGCGCTACAGGTTGTGCAGCCTGTCTGAAACAACAGACACGTGGGAGGGAAATGCCTGGAAAAAGTGGGAAGACTTGGACAGAGTTGTGTGGGAGAGCTGTTTGCCTTCAGCATCATCTTCAAGGGGACATCTGTTTGGGTTTTTTCACACTTTGAGCACAGGCCTTCTTTGCATTTTCCTTGTTTTGTGGTTTGTTGTTTGTTTTTTTTCATTAATTTTCTAGATGGACACAGCCAGAATCTCCAACCATCCTGGGGGAGGGGGTGCTCTTTAGGACAATAGATATCTTTGTGTTAATGGGGTTTTCAAATTCTCTGTGTGGTCTAACACTGTATCCCTTATTGGTGGGAATGTGTCATTTAGATCCTGACTGGGGAGGACTGGAATTCGGTGATGTATGATGGGATCATGGCTTATGGCGGCCCCTCTTTTCCAGGAATGTTGGTCTGTATTTACTTCATCATCCTCTTCATCTGTGGAAACTGTATCCTTTGATGCTACTCCTTTCTGCAGGAGGGGGTGAATTTAAAGCCACCATTTACTTTGTCATGTCAGAAAATAACCAGTTTCATATCTCACATTTTTACCTTTTCTCTAGGTCTGAATTTTGGCTTTACACTGCCTAAAGCTAAACAAGTTTGTTTAATTTTAGCCAGTGCTAAGGCATAGAGGCAGTTGTAAGAGCCAGCTACATGCCAGCTCCACATGCTAGCTTTTATTTCATATTTTCACGTTTAGTGTTTTTATTTTTCATTCCCCTTAATTCTCTCATAGGTTTTCTTTCCTAACTTCTCCAGAAACTAATCTATGCCTGTTCCTACTGTACTTACTGCATATTTTTTGCTTTAGTTGCTTTTTTAGCAATATATTCCATGTGCTTTCATCCAAGCCTTATGTGGAATAAAAATATGTATAACCTACAGTATGCTATATACAAATGCTGTAATAGGAGTAACATATGTTTGACATAATTGATTTAGGTGAGATCATACATTAATTTATGTATAAACTAACAGGACCCATATTCCATTTCAGTTGCTGCAATCTGTGTGTTCTTCAAGCAGAAAATCCTGTGCTCTGTTATCTTCCAGCCTCTGCTGGTCTTAAGTAACTTTAGTTCTCTCTGGCTTCAAGGTGAGCTGAGGGCACTGTGCATATCCCAGGAGGTACAAAGCACATTGCATGATTAGGCTCTGAGTGTCTTTTCACAGCAATTTGCATATAACATGGAGCTGTGGTTCTGTTCCATATCTCAGTTTGCTCCAAATTTGTCCATGTTTAGTTTCTGCTTCCCTAATAAATGGCCCTCCTGTGTCAGAGGTGACATTTCCTTTTATACTGATGCTTCTATAAAGCCACCTTGTGGACTCAGCCCAACTCTTCTGGCCTTTGCTCATAATTCAGATCTCTCAAACCCTGTTATTTGACATTTCAGTTGACCTGCATGCCCTCACTTCAAAGTGAGATGGTGCAATTCCACTTATCTGAAGGTCAAGGTAGGCAATCTGCCTGACAGCTTAAAAAAAAAAAAAAAAGCTACAGTTTGGATCTCCTTGTGAAAATGTGAGCCAAGTCTACATGCTGGCTGACTTTGGAGCCGTTAGACCTTGGAGCCCAGGGAGGAGGGTGTCTGTGTTTCCAAGCTGAGCCTTGAACCGGGGTTTGCTTAAAAGTTATCATGGTGTAATAAGACCTAAGCTCAAGAAATTTATAGAACAGGCTTATGTTCAGATTTGTAACACAAGACCTGAACGCTGACTGGTAACACAAGAAAACAGTTGTAATTCCTTGCCCTTGAGCTACATGGGCACGACTAGACCATGCATGGACTCTCTGCTAGGAGATGGCAGAGTTATCAGCTCAACTCTTCACTGTCCAGACTAAACTAACCTCAGAAATGCTCATCAGAGTGTTATGATTGCTGTCCATAAAATCCACTCATGTGACCTAAACTGTCAAAGATGCAAAGCATTTAGTACTCCCCTTCTCTTCTGTGGGATTTGTTGCACAAAGTGATACTCTTTTGGGAAGTTGGAAACTAAAATATAAGCCTGGACTTAGATGCTTTATATCAGTCATTCTGTTGTGAAATTTTGGAAACCCACAGTGTGTTCACTATGTGGATGGAAGGTGTAGGTTTGTGCATGCTGGATATGCACATCCTGAGCAGTTGTGTGAAATGGAAGTTTGGAAAATCCAAGGCACATGATGACAGGTTGCTAAAAACTTTCAATTAAGAAACCCTTGGTATAATCTTTTCTTGCAGTTTTCAAAGCCAGTTTTCTTTAAGTAGCACACAAACAGATATCCTGCTGAATGTATTTTTGGCCATTGCTGTGGACAACCTTGCTGATGCTGAGAGTTTAACATCTGCACAGAAAGAGGAGGAAGAGGAAAAAGAAAGGAAAAAGCTAGCAAGGTAAATCCATTTGCATGCAGCTATCTGCACTCATATGCCTGTACTCCTGTGAGTGTAATTACACATGATACATATGCATAGGTATATGATGCATATATACATACATGTGAGTATAAGTAATATGTATGTTTATCTTGTCTGTGTGTAGGTAGGTTATATATATGTGGTTAATGTAATTATATATGGAATTATGGATACATAAATTTTTATGCAAAGGAATTCAAACTGTGAGACAAGGACAGTGCCATGAGCTGGGAGTCCCCACAGCTGCAGTGATGTGAGCTGGGGAAGGGAAGTCTGGGTGACTGATGAGCTTTCAGAGCATCAGCAGAGAATGAGTGTGAAATGGTGTCAATGTTACAATCCCATTTGAATTTCCCTATTATCTTCCAATTGCTTTGGGCCACAAAGCGTATTTTCAGGCTGTCATTCCCACAAAAAGATTCAACAGCTTCCTTTTCTTTTGATGCCACATGCTGCTCTTCTCTTGCCAGTTCTTTTAGTGTTTCCACAGACACTTAAGAGGCACAAGCTGGATGTAGAGCTTCTCTGTCATTCCCAGCTGCCAGCAGCAAGGAAGCCTCTCCTTACTGGTTATTTCCATTCACTGTCTTCCAGGCTGCTTGGAGGGGATCTCTTGTGCAGACCTTTCTGCTTCATCCTGCATGCTACTCAGCAGATTTCCCTCCCTCTGGGAGTGCAGTGAGGGGCAAGACCTTTGTAGGCAACCGAGGGGAAGATATGGGATGAAAATGGTCCATGCCCTTGTCACTGGGGGAACAAAGAGATCTCTGCTGACAGACCTGGAATATGCACGTGCACAAACACACGGCACGTACTTCCCTCGCATGCACACACACACACAAACACACACACACAGAAACACAAACATGTGCTGTTGAGAAAGCTACAAAATAAAGGACACTATTCAGAATTAGAGCAGAGTCTCTGCCTTGGCCTGCAGATGAGGACAAGGGGGAGCCACCGGTAAGCTGGGCTCGGAATGGAGATGCCAGCTGATTGTTCTCATGGTGTGTGCTGTATTACATGAAGTCCCTAAAAGGGAAAGCTTTTCACCTTTGTAACTCTTTGCTTTTTATCTTGTGAAATTGTTAGAACTGCTAGTCCTGAAAAGAAACAGGAGATGGAAAAAACAGCTGTGGAGGAAGAGACAAAGGAGGAGAAAATTGAGCTGAAATCGATCACTGCTGATGGAGAATCCCCACCTGCTACCAAGGTAAGGTCTGCTGCCAGCCAGGCACTCTCTGTGCAGTGATGGCATGAGCAGCTTGGGTTTCTGAGGGAATGAAAACTGTCTGCCTTGTCTGATAAAGGCTTTGATGCTTCTCCTTTCTATTTCTGTCAGATCAATGTGGATGACTATCAGCCCAATGAAAACGAAGAAAAGAGCCCATATCCTACAACAGAAGCACCAGGTATCCGTCTTCTTCCTCTTATCCCTGATTTGACAAAGAGAAGCTCCAGTTGCCAATGCACATAAAGCCAAATTGTGGTAGCAGGCGTGCTGAACATGTAATGCTTTCATTACAGAGTGATGTGCTTGCCTGTGTTTGCACAGGTGTGGACTTGGTCCTTTGCAGAACCTGTGCTGATTGGTCATCTTTCATTTGGTTCTCTGTAAAGCTCTTTATTGGGAAAGGTGGAGCTTTGCAGAGAACCAAATCAAATCATGTAAAAATCTTTGCATTTGAAAATGTACATATGACTTTGTTTTGAGGGTGTTTTTCAGTACTCAATGGTCAGGGAGACTCACAACAGATAGTCATAAAAGGGACAACGTTGAATGCCTTTTTGTGCTGTTTTCTAGTCAAAAAGGACAGTGTGACTTATTTTAATAACTCTAAAGGCATAAGATCTCAGCATAGAATGGGAGGAATCAAACTATAGCATTAGTTAGGCTGATTTTCAAGTCAGTTGGGCCTAATTAACATCATTCTCACATACCTGAAAGATTGGTTGAAGAAATCTCAGAACTTTGAGCAGTTTTTCATCAAGAGATCCTGAATGAGGGGTGGGGTTGGAGCTAGTCAGTTCATCTTCCGTTCTTGGAAAAGTGCTTGAAAAAATGATTAAGCAAACTATACGACTGCAAGATAAGGAGATGACAGATTTGCCAAGAGCAAACCACATTAAACCACCCTGATTTTCTTCTAGAAGGGGCTGAAAATACTTGTGCTCAGGAGAAAAGAAGTAGGTGTCATGTTCTTTTACTTTGCTAAGGCTTCTGGCCAAGTCTTACAGCGTTCTCATAAGCTGGCTAGAAAATTATGGTCTAGATGATTGTGAGAGAAATTGATCCCACCCTTTATGTATAGGGTATTGACAGCCCAAGTGAGTTTCTACAACCCAAAAGCCTGTCTAGAGTTCAGTTCAGTTCATTGTTAATGACCTGAATGATGGAAGAGGCAATATGCTTATTACATTTGTAGATGACATGAAGCTAGGAAGGACACGAAGCATGCTGGAGGGCAGCATTAGAATTCAAAGAGCTCCTGAGGTCCTGGATAAATGGTCTAAATAAAATTGAAAGTGCCAGGCTCTACACGTAGACAGGAATAAACAATTCACAAATAAAGGATCTGAGGTCACAGCTAGTTAGGTAACAGTCCTTGAGAAGAGAATCTGAATCTCATGATCACAAGCTCAACAGGTGCCAGCAACAGTTTGCTGTCTTTCAAAAGGCATGCAAGTAGTGAGATTTATAAACAGAGGAAACAAGACCTGTCTATGCAGTTATGGGCTTCTTTTAAGTGGTCAGGAAAAGCTAACCAGAGCAAAGCAATTGTTCTATTGTGTTCTCTGCTGGAATATCATATCTCATTTTGGATGCTCGGCTTGGGAGAAGTGGGGCTGAATTGGAAAAATTATAGAAGAGTGATGAAAACAATGCTAGTAGGAGGCAAGAACTAAGACTGAATGAACTGCGATAACCTGAGTTAGGAAAGGCAGGAGAAACACCTTCAAATGTATAAAAAACCTGCTACAGGTAGGAGGGGAATTATCTCCATTATCAAATAATACATTCAAGATCCACACCAGAGAGAATTTTCTAATGGTGAGGCTAGAAAAGATCACAGAGCTGGTTGTGAAATTCCAGCATCGCTGAATGCTGTTAGAAGCAGGTCAGAAAAATGTCTTCCAGAAAAAGCTTAGATATAATAATTAATTGATCCTGGCCTGGCAGAGGCATGAACCAGAAGGCCTTTTGTGGTCCTTTCCTGCTCTGCTCTTACGTGTTTCTATGATTATGTAACAGGCTATAATAGGTTATGAAACACATTCTCTTCTATTCCATGATTCCTAATAAATAAATGTCTGATAATAGGTTGATGTGATAGGGTAAAAAATAACACAATAGTTCATTTTAAGTAGATGGACAAGGGTTTCAGACAAGCAAAATGGAAAACTGTTCATTGCATTTTACTCTCAATACAAAAAGTCCCCACGTTTGCTATGCTTGTATTCTTCCATATTTATAGCCAATTTATCAGGAATAGAATGTGGTTCCAACGCTGTGCAACACTGTTTTAACATTGCCTGGGCCAGATGCCTCTGGCTTTAATCTTCCCATCGCCTCTGTAGGCACAGGCACTTACTGGACACACATCCCCAGTTGCTAAGGGGGTTGTAGGAATCTTTAGTTGGGAGGACAAATTAAAACAGCTTGATACAGTTCTGTTTCAGTTTCTCAGCTGGGTTGGATTTGCAGGCCATTACATTTTTCTCAAGTGAAGCAACAGCCATTTGTATCGATTTTAAGTCTACTGATAATAGAATTGGAGTTTAGTTGCCTTCTGTGGATAGCTTAGAAATAGTCTAGCATATGAAACATATGATAAAAACTGCATCTACATTTTTTGTCATTCAGCCATGCATAGAATTACAGTGTGGAAAAATAAGTGAAAACACTTTTAACTCCTGCCTTGGGGTGCCAATCCCTGGTTTAATATACTTTTGAACACAACCTAAAATTTGGATGGATGATCAGGTTTTCTCCTGTTTCCTGTCAGAAATGCAAAGGGACACTGTCTTGGTTATTTGCCACTGTATGATGCCATTTCTAAATAGGCCTGTTCCCTGAATTGTTTGTCAATTCTTTGTGAAGAGTGAAACTATTCTTTAACAGCTCACAAAATTACCTGACCACTTCTTTCAGACTTCATGGAAGGCAACCATAAGGCTCAGATGGCAGTAAACTTTTTAAATCCCTCTTTAGGTTGGATTTACCATAGTCATCTGTTCCAGTCTGCTGTATAAAGCTCAGAAACACCAGGATACTCTCAGAGCTGATATGACACATCACCTCTGCCTAGTGTAGTTGCTTCTGCAGAAGAAGGCTTCAAGGCTTTCCCCGGCACTAGCAAGCAAGAATTTCCCAATCCCCACATGTATTCTTGTCCGGTTCCCTTGTGGCCATTCGACCAGTCCAGAATCCTTCTGCTGATTGCTGATCAGTCCAGCTGTGGTACAGGAGATGCTGTGCAGCCATATACAGCCCATCTGGGAACACACCTTTTCCTGCCCACTTGCACATGGATCCATTTTCAGCTGTGCTTTAAGTGAAACATCCTGTTGTTTTCTTAGAGGCAGTCAGCTGGTTCTACCTATTTTCTGTTGATGATTTAAACTGTTAGTGCCTGTGACCCTTTCATGGCTGTGCACCATTCCATCCTCTGAAAACATCCTTCGCCCTAATCCAGTGTTCAGAAACAATTTGAAATGGTCACCTCATTTTATTTTTTTTTTCTTTATTCTTTCAACCTACCTTGTTTGGGCTCTAATTTGTTTCCGCTTCTCAAGCAGCTTTCTCAATAACCTCCTCTGTCTCTATTTGCTACACAGTGTTGCTCACAGGCCCCAGAGTACCCTGTGTGCTTGCAGCTCCTCAGATCACCTAGCCCCTTTTCTTGGAAGGACAGACTAGTTCTTCCAGAGATTTGTGTACACTAGAAGAATTATTATGATGATATGTTTATTATGGGAAGACAGGGAGCTAGTCTTGCAGTCTAGTACAGAAATAGACAAAGAATTCGGGATGTCAAATGAAGGTAAAAGCTTGGGGATGATTCATGGGAGCTTGAAGCAAAGCAGTGTCCTTATACGAGAGTTCTGGTCTTTGTATATAGTAAAAAAAAAAATATCCCCGTTGTCAAATTTCTCACTAATGCTGCATTGTAGCCTGTTTGTGCTTGTCTTCACAGCCAAAGAACATTTGCTTCTACAAATGTGAGCAGCTGTGCTGGTTCTATATGCAGGTAGATACGTTAGAACTGACCTGAGGTTGTTCTCATGTTCTTCTTTGCGAACTGGGGCCTCGCTGTTTCCTTTCTTTGGTGCCCTAGACTCTACTCAAAGTGAAAGATATTCAGAACATTATTCTTTATCTATGGCTGAGGAATTGAATGTGTTTTTCAGTCTGAAGGGATGTGGTTGCCAGAATCATTAATATATTCCTTGCTGTATGGCAGAAAGGAGAAACAGAGAGGAGCAATGTTCTTTCTGGTCTTCGTGGGGCTGATCCATTTGCTGAGGGTCCATTTTCCTGAGGCGTTGTTCCATACCCATTTAAAAGTGTATTTTAAGCATTCCTCTGAGTAAAAGAAGTAGAATGATCTAATAGTGAAGGTGCAGAAGAGGGACTCAGAATACTAGTCTCTTTAAGCAAGAATCTCAAATATCCCACATGGGCAGTGGTTTTCTGGCCTGTTGAAGAAGAAAAAGAATTTTCTTACATCACTCATTGTCAGTCTGCTCTGAAATCTGTAGGTAAAAGGTACAAGTGCAAAGTATGGAATATTATGTAAATATAAGCATTAACATTAACACCTGTTTTAAAAGTACTATGTAAAAAAGTACTTGTAAAAGAATGTTTCTTTAACTAATAAAGCCTGTATAAAGAGTATTACAAAGTACATTACACATTAATTGAGCTGTTAAAAAATAGACTAACTGAAAAAGTACAAACTCTGTGTACCAGCTCAAACATTTATGCAAAGATCTATCAAGTGAATTTGAGCTGAACTCTTGGTACTGTAAGTGTAAAGAAAGAATCCTATTTGCATGTAATAATGGCATGCATTCAAAAAGGGCACTTTTCTCCTGTCTCTGTTATCTAGATTAGGATCTGTGCTGATTCATCTGTTCTTTCTGATGTGTCCTGTAACCAGATCAAGTACCTCACCCTGAAGGAACAGTCTCTTCCTGGAATTTATCTCCCTTTATGAACTCGGGCTGAACCTTTTAACTAGAGTTTCCTCCTTTGCATTGCCTGGCAGATGAACCAGTTTCATCTAACCTGTCGGACTCCTTTCTTAAAGTATTTTTTTCTGTCTGGCTGATTAAGCAAGAGGATTGGGATCTTTTCAAATAGCAAAATCCCATCATGTTGTTTACAAAACAACATCTGACTTCAGCAGGTAGAAGGAATCCTCAAAGGTGGAAGCTTCTCTTTCACATAACCCTTAGACCACCTCTCTGCATTTTTTATCCTGAGGTTGCTCATTTTTCAGCATGGGGCCTGGAGATCTGCTCCATAGGCATCAGGTTCGAGACTCTCAGCAGTCTCAGCCTCTTTTCCACCTTTTTAATCTTCCCCCCACTAAATTATGAAAGAGGACAATTTTAAGACCTTGTGATCGGTGTCAGTCAGTGTGCCCATGCTCAGTGTTTGCTCTGGGATGCAGTCATCCAGACACGATCCCAGATGTGGCAGTGGCTCCATGGAGATCCTCACAAATAGGAGAAAAACAGATCTTGATAAACTGGAGGAACGACCTGAAGAAAAAAAGATGCAGTTCAATAAGGATGAGATCCAAGTGCCACTCTTGGGAATAGTCAGCGGCAGAAATGCAGAGGGGGAGTGACAGGCTAGACAGTTGTTCTGTGATAAATAATCTGTACTTTGTGCATATCAGAAACTGATGGCAAATTAATGCCAGAGTGTAATGAAAAGTGCCCATGAAGGACATTTAAGCAGGAAGATAATATAAGACATATTAAGTAATACAACTCTCCTGCACCACTAAAACTTCAGCTGCAGGTTAATCCTTCACATAATCTGGAAGACAGTAGCAGGAGTGATCAGAAACCTGGGGAACACAGCACCTCAGGAAAGACTGTTGCTGTTTTGCTCTAGGAATAAGATATTCTCACAGAGGCATGTTAACTGTCCTTGAGTATGTAAAAGCCTTCTGCAAGAGGAAGGCAATTTGCAATTTTCTGTGTCGGTGGAAAATAAAATAGCAGATACTGGATTTAGACCATAGCAAGAAAGGTACAAGTGAGTCACTAGAAGCTTTTTTTTTTTTTTTTTCAGAAGGGACAGTGAAGTATCTAAGGAGAGTGTGAGAATATTGTGGGTTTACCAGCATTAATGGTTTTACAGAGAGACTGACTGTCAAGAGACTAGATCAATGTTTGCCAGGGCAAGCACTGGGCAACAAATGCTGCCTTGGGGGAAGGAAGTGGACAAGGAACCTCACGTTTTAGCATCCTATTTCAATGGTTCTTAGCTTTTAGCTCTAGTTATGACAGAGACAGATGCCCCAGCACTGCAGAATGGGTTATATTTTGCATTAAAAACCAAAAATGCTTCTTGCAGCAGAGGAAGATGAGGAAGAACCTGAGATGCCTGTCGGCCCTCGGCCTCGCCCAATGTCTGAGCTGCACCTCAAGGAAAAGGCTGTGCCCATGCCTGATGCCAGTGCTTTTTTCATCTTCAGTCCTAGCAACAGGTATTTAAGAGACTGCTTAGTTGGAAAAAGTAGGAAAAGAGCAAGGTACCCCTTTCATGTTGGGCCCAAAATGTTATGAGGTGCAGAGCTCCCATCCAGCAGTTCATACCAGAGACCTCCTTTGACTCCTCTCTCATTTAAAGACCCTGGCATGAAATCCTCATGAAAGTACAACTGTAGGGATCCCCCTGACAATATTCAATTGGAGCTCATGGCACCTGCAAAGCTGACTGAAGACACAAATCGTGAAAGCTTCAGAAATAAGGGACTTGGAGGCAAGTCAGTAATTGGAATTCCCCTTCATATTCAGGTCCAAATTGCAAGAGGGCCATTATGCAATCAATCAAGTGTGAGGTAGGAGCTTCCTGTCCTAAGGGCTGCTCAAAATCCACTCCCAGTACACAGTTCATGTGTCTCTGCTCATTGCTGCACATCAAGAATGAGCATAAAACTAAAAATGGGAGGAGAAGGAGGAGGAGGAGAGTCCATAGCTCTCCTGAGAGAGAGGAGTCTGCAGAGAACAATTCTTCTCTCACACTTCTCCCATGGGCTCCTGCAATGCAGCTTCACGTTGTGCCACCTGTCTTTCCAAAATAGGTGTGCAAGCCTAGTACTGTGAATGGAGGGTTGTTATGACACAGGGGAATTTGTCTTTCCAAGGGTATGGAAATGAGCTCACTGCCCACTGGGCTGTGCAGTATTGTGTATCCCCATATCTCTCTTGAGGGCTCGGCCTCCAAACACAGCCCCAGAGCAAGGCAGGGCTGTGAAAGCACTGTTGAATTCAGAGCCAGTTTTTCCACAACAGAGCTTGTGCCACTCCTCCCTGGGTATGTGTAACAGGGAGGGACTGAGGATGATTGGGACTCGTGGACTCTAATGCCAGCTTTGCCACCCACCCACTGTCATTTGTAGAAGAAGTAAATTAACCTCTGCAATCATCTGTAAAATTACTATAATAGGGACTGGGAGACTTAACAGCCAAGAGTAGAACTAAATAGATTAATGAAGTGCCTCTAGAATTATGCACAGGGCTGTTATGAGGTTTAACTCCTCATGTCCTGATACCAACGTATGGAAAGTGCTGTAATGGTCTCCAATAAGCAAACTGCCATTTGATGGGAGACTGCTCCTTCTTTACCTGCTAGTTTCCCACTAAGAGCACCAGGTCTGCATGGCATGATGTCCTCTCAGAAGCCATTTGTAAGTGCCAGCCTGCCCTATATCCATTTGGCCAGGCCTGTACGCTGTTAGCAAGGTAGATCCCCCATAGCTCCTGTTAGGTGACACTCCAGCCCCAGCTCAGAAAGACACTGGCACCCCCGAGCCTGTTTCTGCTGCTTTCCTCCCAGCTGAATGAGGAATGGTTCTGTGAATGAAAGCGAGGGGTGTAATTTTGGGTTGGCAGGTTTCAGACCACATGGAAATCACAAAAGGCTCTGTCAGGAGGGAGTGACTGTTCTCCATTCAAACGCACCGAGCGTGAGTCCTGCATGATGTGGAGAGCCAAGGCTGCCCAGCACCCAGCACAGCTGCCTGGGCCCATCATTCTCCCTGCTGCTGGGGCAGAGGGAAGGTGCTCTGCAGAGCAGTCCTCTAGGGCCAGTCCTGCTGGCAAAAGAGGAGGGGGGGGAAATGTTTCCCAAGTCTTGCAATTCTTTGAGAGATAAAGTTGTGCCTCTCCTCTCTCTTGCAGGTTTCGTGTCCACTGCCATCGAATCGTTAACGATAACATTTTCACCAACCTGATCCTATTTTTCATCTTGCTCAGCAGCATCTCCCTGGCAGCTGAGGACCCTGTCCGACACCTCTCCTTTAGGAACCAAGTATGCTTCATGTCCTCCTTCCCTCGCTGGGTATTAAAAGTGTGGTGTAAGCAGATCATGAGTTGAAGCTTGAAGCATGAAGGAAAGTCAGAAAAGACTGCATCAGAGGCTTTGGGAGTGCCTGTCTGCTGTGATTTGTGCCTGTTGTAGGCTGTGTGTGAAATCATTGGGCTTTGCAGGGAACATGAGTCAGTGCAGAATTTGGCCTCTAGTTCATTTCAAAGCCGTGTGTAGGGGAAGGAAGAAGAGGAGGCTGAAGCAAAATTATTGTTCCCTGGGATTAAGGCGTTATAAATGAGCTGTAAAAACATTGATTGAGATACAGATAATTCTAATTTGGGGGATTTTCAGATTCCCTTTGGAACATTTACTCTGCTGCCACATGCTGTCTTTTGAACTAAAAAGCCTAATTTTCACTTTATTCACACTGGTTTAAATCAGGAGTGACATTCTTTAGTTTGATACAGTCACTCTGGGGGAAATTGATGTCATCAAGGTTAGAATTAGAGTATTTGAACACAAGCTGCAAAGCTGTTCTTAAAGTTGAGATAATCCTCAAAAATTATGCTGCGCTCCTCTCCTTACCAGTCTGGGGGGAGAAGAGGGAGGCATTCACCACAGAGGTACATTCTCACCTTCCTTCCTGACCATCCTTATTAGCCTTTTGAAATGTTCAGTGCTCCTTTAACTTTGCCAGTGGTTGTTTCCATTAATCTGGGGTCGTGGCAGAAATCAGAAGAGTCAGCAGACATATGAGAGACTTCAGATCCCTTCTGTCTGCAGTGGCATTTTGGTGAAGAGTTCACCAGGTTTGAAGAGTTTGCTAGGCTTAAAGAGTGGGACGATTTTTTGTGGTTTAGTAATAAAACCTTAATTTAAAACTCCCCAAAATATCCTGGCCTGAGCATGCATTTAAGCACATATGTGCATGCAGAGAAGGTGTTAATGGGCGTTTATTCCCAAGCTTATCTCAGAGTAGCTTTGCATTTTGTCCTGAAGGATGGGGCTAAATAATACAGCCAAACCTGTGCCACCAAGGACCCACTTGTGCACAGATGAGTGTGCCCACCATGTAGGGATAACTGGATGTCAGTATGAATTAGTGCTGCAGCATCTCAGCTGGCAGATGGGCTTCTGACATGCCACAGAAACTGTTGCAGAATCTGTAGCAGAGAGATTTAAATGAGAAGGAAAAAAAAATAAAAAAAAGTCAAAGCTTGTTGTCCTGGATTAAAGAGCAGAAGGTTTGGGGCGAAGAGTTGTTTTGTGTATTTGAAGCTACTGATGTTGCATGAAAATCTGTGTTTAATTTTTGCAGGTACAGATGTTTAAAGTGTATCATACAAGGGGACACTGACAAGATGTTTGGGTTGCAAACGTGCTCTGCCTTTACACTTTGACAGTAGAACAGTAAGACTGTGTGCTGCTCTGTGCCCACACAGAGGACTGGGAGGAAAAAAAAAGAAAGCAAGCTGAAAAACAAGGCACCTGCCTCTGCCTTTGCTCTGAGACTTGTGCAAACAAGGGCTGCTGTTAGCACAAACTGTCCCAGAGCAAGGAGACAGGAACAGAGAGCTCAGCAAAGGCTAGTGAAGAGGCTTGGACACTGCTTCTGTCCCGGGGCAGGCTAGTGGCTGTGTCCTTCTGGTGTCACACAGGGCTCAAGCAGCAAGTTTTTGGAAGTGCCCCCCCAATCTGATCAAACAGCCTTTAAAGCCCAAGCAAGTCCTAAGGTTGTGTGCTCCCAATACTCTCCTGTTTGCACCTTGGCAAAGTGCTTATTCATTTTAATGTATTCTAGAGTAAATTCCTATTTAAATAATAATAAATATGCCAGCTGATAAATGGTACTGCCTGCATAGGTGGAGCAGTGATCATTTTCATTAGGCATGACTTCATCTATCAGGGACATCTTTACCAGCTGCAGCTTTGGGGCCAGGCTCACCACTGTGTTCTAGCTCCTTTCCAGTGCTCTGGTGATGTAAAGCAGCAGCAGGTACAGCTTAATCATCCACTTCAATCAAGTTTACAGCTGCTTTATATTGGTGGAGCCATGCAAGGCAGCCTGTGAATACCCATGAACCTGGCCCATTGATTATGAAATTATTCCATTGATATAATAACCAAATGTCAGGACCTACAGAGCAGCAATGCAAGAGGATATTACCAGTGATAATGTATGTAAATTAATACAGGGCGCAGTTAAGATCTATCCCCCTTGAAGTGGCCCTTTTTTAATTCTCTAAGTTGCAAAAATTTATAGAGCCCATGATGGCCTTGAGAAGAATTTGGGATTAAAAATTGCACAGTGACCTAAAGAATTTTAAGTTACACCATAGCAGTAACAGATACATCCTGCATTTGACATGCAGCGTCTGCAGATCAACCCAGATTTGGATTATGCTTAAGTACTGCAATGTGAAATAACCCTGTAGTTTGCAGTAGCTGCCCCACTGCCCAGGCCATACCAAGCTGTAAAATCTGAGCGAGGGTGTGGGCTCTGAGATACAATAAACACCTGTGGGATGGGAGAAGGCAGTTTCCTGTTTTATGTTTATTAGTGTATTAGCAGTAAAGGTTTACATTTCACAAATTACAAGTTTTCTACAGCTTCCATATATTGGCCTTCTGATTTATAAGTTGATTATGGTAAAAGAGCACTAATACCATGGGCACACAAAGCTTTGATATTCAGCATCTGTAGTGTAGATAGCACTAAAGTGGCTTGGAATATTGAAATACGTTGGAAACAAAGAGAGTTCAATTCTGGTCCCATTAGTCAGTGAGAAAGTACCCATTTGCTGCTTTGGGTTGTCAATTGATTGGCAGTGAAAGACATTTCTGTCCCTGATGCTGCTACTTTGAAAGCCCCTTTACGCTTCCAAACTTGCTGTGGCCTTCTGTGACACTCTAGGGCCACTCTCTGTGGTCTGTAATACGTGCCATGGGTATCTCCATCACCAGGTCTAGGTTCCTGGGAATGAAGAGTGTTTCAGCTTGCTTGCTATGCAGGATGCCAAGGGAAAGATGCAAGATCTAAGCTGGGCACCTTTAGCACATGACCAAATTATGGTTGCAGTGCAAGTGCTGGGATTCTGTTCAACTGGCAGAGTCATTGTGGTTCATCCTAATCCAGGGAAATTCAGGATAGAGAAAAAAATAGCTAGATTATGAATTTGTGGTTTGCTTTTCTTCCTTTGAGAGACCACAGGACAAGCCTGCATGGAAGTTAATAAGAAGAAATCTCATATTTTCTACTGAGAGGCCAGGCTCTCTTTGTATTCTCAGTTTGGGAGCCTATTTGGGAAAACCCTTCAAAGTCATTTATTAGATTTAAAAAAAAAAAAAAAAAAATCCTACAACAACCAAAAAGCTATTTTGCCTCAATAGCGTTCATGGGATTGTAACTCAGAATAAGATTTAATGTAATGTGTAATGTGCTTCTTGTCCTCTGTGCCAGGACCTTCACTGCATTCACCAGGACATCATTACAAAGCCATTCCCTACAGAGTCCTCCTCATTCCCTTGTGCACAGACGTGTGTATTTGATTTTGAACTGTGATTTCCCATGCAAGTGATTAGTCACTGATCTACCCTCCCCGCTCCTATCCCCTTTTGTTTTTACAGATTCTCTTTTATTTTGATATAGTTTTTACTGTCATTTTCACCATTGAAATTGCTCTAAAGGTAAAGTGCCCATCTTCTCTACCATTACTTGTTCACAAGCTTACTAGTTTTCTGCCACTATCTGTTGCTAACACACACGCCTGTTTGTTCCTGGGTCACGCTCAGTACCACTAACCCAATTGTGCTTATTTTTCAGATCCTAGGCAATGCAGACTATGTCTTCACTAGTATCTTTACATTAGAAATTATTCTTAAGGTAACCAATCTGAGCAATACACTTGTTTTCTTCTTTCCTCCCTGCTTTGCTTTTCTTTCTTTCCTTCTTTTTCTTTTTTTCTTTCCTTCCTTCCTTTTCTTTCTTTCTTTCTCTTTCTTTCTTTCTTTTTCTTTCTTTTTCTTTCTTTCTTTCTTTTCTCTCTTTCTTTCTTTCTTTTCTCTATTTCTTTCTTTCTTTTCTTTCTCTCTTTCTTTCTCTATTTCTTTTTCTCTTTTTTTTTCTTTCTTTCTTGCTTGCTTTTTTCTCTCTTTCTCTCTTTCCTTCTCTTTCACTCTTTCTTTCACTCATTGTTTTGGCCTTTTTTTTACCCCCATTATTATCTCTACACAAAGGGTTGTTTTTTCTTTTGATTTTAACATTTTGGTAGTTGCTTAAAAGGTTTTCTCTGAAATTTTGATATTCAAGCTCATAATTTAGGGCCTATACCAAAAGAGTGCTTTGTAAGGGAATCGCAATGAAAGGATGCAATGTTGGGAAAAGTCAGAAAGTACCAAAAAAAAGGCCATCCCCTCATAAATTTCTCGCTCTACCTTGGCCAGTCTTTGCAAACAGGATTTGTCTGCTCTGCAAGAAATTCTGAGTACATTCACCTCCTCTTACACACGCTACAAAGAGAAGGTCTCTGTTCTGCACAAGTCATGAGGCTGGGCCAGGGGGTGGCTGATGACTTCTGTAACCTTACAGTTTGCACAGCCAAGCAGGAGACAGGGAGCACAATGCAAAAACTCACTTGTTAGGTGTAGAGAGAAAACTGAGAGTTCAAACCACTGAAATACCAAGGACAACTGCAAATAAAAATTGCTGCATTGAAACCTGGCTTCCCATTTCCCAGGAACGTGCTCTGTACCGAGGGGAGTGTGCAGGAGAATGGTTTAGCTTGGAAGAAAATAAAAATAGGCTGCCTTGTTCTTAACTCTAATTTTCCCAAATTGGTAGACTAATAATTTAAATAACAGTAATTGAGCAAAGTTCTGGCTTTCTAAATGCTACGTTCACTTGGCAGCCGGGTTTTTTTCTCAGCAAGCTAGTTCTGAGTGCTGGCAGGCAGTACCTTAGAGTTGCTCAAATTTTGCAGCTCAAGACCCTAATAACAGTATCTATATTGAAGGCTGGCAAGCAGGGTGGCCCCTGCATATTTTTGTAGAGAAACGTGCTTTCTGATATGACTTCAAATTGCCAAAGCCATCATGTCCTCCAAAGAAATGTGCATATTATGCCTGTGTGCAGTTTGCATCTGTGTTTACGCAATAAATCTGAGCGTGCGCTCATCACATGGCTGATCAAAAAAGGCCTGTCAAAAAAGGAAAATACCTCAACAGCAACATTTAAAAACAAAACCATAATTCAAGGCACCTATTTGAACTCAGAATTACTGATTCTGCTCAGACTGAAGGAAACGGTAACACTCCTAATGACTTCAGTGGAAGCAGAACCTAACCCAACCCACTGCCCTATTGCTCTGTTTCCATGAGAGGAGTGTACTGCATAGTACCCAAGCCTTTCCCCTGCCCTCCTGTTAACTTCAGTGGATTTTTGACACCACCACTGGATATGCTCTGGGTTCAAGTGGAAGAGGAATGCGAGGCCTATAAGTTCAAGTCACAAATTCTCAGTGTGTATTTCTCTGTTGCCCTGGGCACAGTGTTTTGCACAGCAGCAAAGTTAGTGTGAATGGTTAGAAACAAAAGAGTAAATGGCCATAGGATGTTCAAGGCAGTAGAGAAACAAGTTTCATCTGCCCTCATGTTGCTGATGACACCTGCAAGCCTCATGCTGCCGTGGTGGAGTCTGGTGAATCTTAGCAAGGTGACTGTCAAGCTTTTTTAGCTGGCATCCTAAAAGGTTGTAGCTTGTTTCATGCCCCAGATGGGGGGCAAATATAGATTATACGCTCTCTGAGAGTTTCTTCTGAGATAACAAGATCTCTCAACGGGCTTGAGAGAACCACAGTTTATAAAGAACTTAAACTCAGCAGAACTTCCCTCCTGATTTCAATGGTGTCTTTCTTTCAAGATTGCCATACAAAATCTAATCAGTAAAGGGCATCTTTACCACCTTTGTTATGGCAAAAACCCCTTCTCCCTTCCCCAGTTGAATGTGTTTATAAGTATAAATTCTAAGCCAAGACCAGAGTTTATACTTCCTCCCCTTCTAAGTTCTGTCTGACTGATAAGTCAGTTCCCTGATGTCATGGATGTTTGGTGAAAAAAATAATCTGACATACCATGTGCCCTTCCACCCTGCTCTGAATAAAGTTTTCACAGGTAGTCACCAGCCAGTATTCCATCCTGAGCTACTAGTGGGAGCCAAAAACTCCAGTTTGAATTTCTAGTTCGCACTTCTCAGCTGGGAGTCTGGCTAGAGCTCATCACTGAGGAACAGTCTCATGGTGTCTGCTTCGGGTTACTTTAGTCACCTAACTTAGGTGAGATTCAGAGGACCAGACTAGGACACCTGTGTTCTTAACTGAGGTGATGGAGGGACACTAGCAGCTGTGGGGATGGGTTTTCCTCAAAGCAGCTCCATTAAATCACTCACTGAGTCTAAGGTAGGTGAACAAATCCCCCCATCCCCTCACCTTCTTTGACTGTGCCAGACTCATTTAGTCACTTTCTGTAACAGAGCTCAGTCAAAAGTTTTCTGTTTACGCTGTCACTCAAGCCAGTTCTGGAGCTGTGATATCCTCCTCAAATCCAGCAGGTATTCAATATCCCTTCCTACCTGGACGAGGCAGAGTGTCCTTTGCAAAATATATAAAAATTTTCCCTTCCTCTGCTGGGTGATGTTCATAATTATTACCTCCACAAAGAAACCACTCTGTCTGAAGGAATATTGCCCTGGGCTTTGTGAGGAAAACTAAGGGGAAAATGCAACAGCATTTAGAATAAAAGTGGATGAAGATGGACAGGAAAAGGGATATGGGACTGAGCTGAACAGAAGGAGCAAACTGAAGAGAGCAGTGATTCCTTCCTCCTGTTGCTTTAGTTCAGTCTAAAGCATCAAATCACTGAGGGATTCTGGTTTTCCTTTATGGAGGGAAGGGAGATCAACTGTCCCCTGCAGCTGGTCTAAGCATTAAAAAACATTATAAAAGAGCCCATTTTATTTTATATTTTTTATTCAGTTTAGCTAAAGAGGCCTTCATGTAATACAAGCATCATACTCACAAGTGTCCTCTGTCATCAAAGGGAAAAGCCTATGATTGCAAAGAGTAGTTTTTGAAAAGAGTCATTCTGCTGCTTTGCTGATTCTAAATTTCATGTAGTCAGTGCACTCAAAGTGCATATTTTCATTGCTAAGCTTTCTCTGGCTGGATCTTTCATAGTTATCTTACTGTCTTCTTCACTCTCTTTTCTTTCAATGGGGACTCAACTTCTGCTTTGGGGCCTGGGGGTAAATTGTCTGCTATGTTAGAAATACTGCACCCACCTCCCACCCCTCCCCAGCTATATACTCTGAGCACAGCCAGGCGGGTTTGGTTTCTGAGCAGATGCTAATGGCCAAGTGTGTTTGTGTCTCCGTGTGCCTTCCTGCAGATGACTGCGTACGGGGCTTTCCTCCATAAGGGCTCCTTCTGCAGAAACTATTTCAACATCCTAGACCTGCTGGTGGTCAGCGTTTCTCTCATCTCCTTTGGGATCCAGTGAGTGAGCTATTTCCAACTGACTATTTCTGTGAGGGTTGTAGGGTTGGGTTGGGAGGGACAGCTCAGGCTCGTTGTCGTATCTGGGCAAGATTTTTCTCATGAGCCTGTTGAGGTATTCATAAGGGTTTTTTCTCAGATGATTCAAGAGCATTAAAATTCATCCTTAAAAGGGGAGGTAAAAATTGGGAAATGTTACACTGGTGACCTGGAGGGGGAGGATCTTCCAGAAAGAGCAAATGAGAACAAAAAACTTGGTGTATTGGGAATCATGACATTTAGCTTTGTTCCAAGATCTCTGATTCACTGTATTGGTGACAGGACAGTTTAGTGACTTGCTGTTCCCTCCTAGACCTCTCATAACCTCTTTGGAAAATGGGGTGATACTGTTTTGCTACTTTCTGAGCTGTTGTGAGTCTTGGTCAGTGGAAGACCATCAAGTACTTGAAGTACTTGAAATCTTCAAGTACTTGAAGATTTTTGTGAGAATCTTCAGAGTGGTGGTGGTGGCTGTTCTGTCACTCTGTTTTCTTTTGTTCATCTGTTAATTTGCCTCCTAAGTTGACAGATTTATTTGACTGTGTGGAATAGGGAGTTTGCTAATTAGTTTCACATCTGATAAGAAACAAGCTCCCAGTTTTTACCATCACAGGTTAGCAGCTCAGACATGTTCCAGTGCCAAGTCAGGCAGAAGAATTTGTAAGGTCCATTGGGCTTTCAGTCAAGGCCTTAAGAATGGCATAGTGCTCATTTTGACCTGCTGTTTCTTTCTTGCAGACCTAACTAGACTCTTACTATTTTAAAATAAAAACTGTTCTCTAAATCAGTAGGAGGACTTGATGTCATACAGCAAGAAGATTCTCAGTCAGGGTTTTAGTCTTGGAAGGTGCAGAGAGCTCTGATGCAGTAGATAGTTGTGTTCAGTACTTAAAATTAAGCACATAAGTCACCCTAATCAATTCAGTGGGAGGGGTGCAGAGGCCAAACACATTGCAGGATCAAACCTCCACTGGACAGTGTACCTTTACTGCCGGAATCTCCTGGGTTTTTCACTCTTATGTGAAAACTTCAGTAGAGTGCTTCTTTGAGCCTTATCTGAAAATACCTTGTAATGACTACATCTTGGCACAATTTCTATATCATAGATATCTAGAGAGTCATTTTGCCCTGCTTAAAAATATGCCCTGCCCATGTTCCATTTCCCCCTCATTAATACAGCAGAGATGGTGGAAATGAGGAGAATACATATTGCTGAGTCTGCCCATGTACAAGAAGCAAGGCCTATGAAGATGATAACATCAGAAACTGGTTTCCTTTCCCCTAAAGTGCCATAGCAAAGAGTTGACTAAATATCCTAAGCAGTCTGAGGCTATGCAGGATTTCAAAGATCTGCCCTCACAGCACACACACCCCCACACACACCTCATATTGATGTATCCCTCAAACCTTCCAATGCTTTCTTCCAGATCCAGTGCCATTAATGTGGTGAAGATCCTGCGTGTTCTGCGAGTCCTTAGGCCACTGAGGGCCATCAACAGAGCCAAAGGACTTAAGGTTAGATGAGTCCCAGTGCATTCTATAAACTATATATTCGGGTTATTTCAAGCTACAAGGACTTTTGCAATGGTTCAAGTAGTGTTTCAGCAGAATCACAGTATGGCTGAGGTTGGAAGGGATCTCTGGAGGTTGTCTTGTCCAAAACCACTTCTCAAGCAGGGCCACTGAGAGCAGATTGTGCAGGACCATTCCTAGATGGCTTTTGAGTTATCTCCAAGGAGAGGGACACCACAGCCTCTCTGGGCAACCTGTTCTGATGCTCAGTCCCCCTCACAGTAAAAGGGTTTCTCAATGTTCAGATAAACCTTCCCTGTTTCAGTTTGTGCCCATTGTCTTTTCAGTGGGCATGACTAAAAAGAGCCTGGCTCTGCCTTCTCTGCATCCTGCCTTCAGGTATTTGTGTGCAGTGAACAGATTCCCCTGAGCCTTCTCTAAGCTGAACAGTCCCAGCTATCTCAGCCTTTTCTCCCAGGAGAGATGTTCCAATCCCTTAGTCATCTTTGTGGCCCTTTGCTGGACTTTCTCCAGTATGTCCATGGCTCTCTTGTACTGAGGAGCCCAGAACTGGACCCTGCACAACAGGTGTCGTCTCACCAGTGCTGAGTAAAGGGGAGGAATCAACTTCAACTTGCTAAAAGTTCTTTGCCTAATGAAGCCCAGGGTACCATTTGTCATCTTTGCCGTGAGGGCTCATGATCACCTTTACATTCACCAGGATCATCAGGTCCTTTTCTGATGAGCTGCTTTCCAGCTGGGTTCCCCCATCACCACTGAGCTTAAATGATGTAATTTTCTAACGTTACAGATGGGCTTACAGCCCTAAACATAATCTTGCTGTATTATATAACCTCCTTCCTCTGGACTGGTGGGTGCCCAACTGTGTAAGTTGGTGCAGCAGGAAGTTTCAGAGAGCTGAGCTCTGGTTTTCCTATCCCTTTCTGCCTCCTTCTAAAAGTACAGCAAGGAATGTAACAAGTTGGTCCCCTTTCCTGAGACATTACTTAATGGGTATTGATTAAATAAATACATTTTTATTTGTATTTTTAGTCTTGGGTTTCTCCCTTAGCCAGAACAGTTCAGAACAGTCCTGCAAAGTTACTTTTGTTCCTATCTTCCACTTGCAGCACGTGGTCCAGTGTGTGTTTGTCGCCATCCGAACCATCGGAAACATCGTGATTGTCACCACCTTGCTGCAGTTCATGTTTGCCTGCATTGGAGTTCAGTTGTTCAAGGTAAAACCATTGGACCCATTCATTCATCCATTACATTGAACTGCATTAAGGGGGAGGAGGTGGGGGGAGGAAAGTAACATGAAGAAGCCTGAGGAAGGGCAAATGGTGTCTTCTGTGTGAAAGGCAAAACGTTTAGGGTACTGTCAGTCCTACCTGGGCTTCTGCTAGCAGCAGTTCTCCAAAACTGAACCAGGTATATGCAAAACTCTTTCCTGTCATCTTTTCATAAGAAATCATCAGTAACCTTCTCCTTCCCTAAGCAGCTTGTGGCATGGCATGGTGCCTGGGAGGCGAAGGGGGCTGTTCTAAAGGATTGGTACTCACTGGCTCTCTGCCTCCCACCTTGCAGAGGAGGAGGCACGCCAGATCATCATGGGAGGTTATTCATTCCCTTCTTTATGTCTGCTTGTATTTCTTTGCCCTTCACCACCCTCCTGACGGCAAGTGTTCTGCAGCACTCAGTGACCACGCTCCTCAGGACATAAAAGTACTGTGCAAGCAGATGAAAGGCTGTGCTCTGAACTACCCAGATGCAGGAAACTCTCAATGCAGTTTTCCTCAAATCCACCTGCAAATGAGCATGTAAACATATTCGCAGTTGGTTAACCAAGTAGTAAATGTCAATGCCTTGCTACGTGATCTGCCCTAACCCTTGCACTGTCAGGAAAGGAAGCTTCAATCCTCTTTCTTCCTTTTCAAGGGCAAGCTGTACAGCTGCACTGATAGCTCCAAGCAGACAGAAGCAGAATGCAGGTGGGTCTGACCTTCTCCAATTAGTCCCCTTCACTGGCCACCCGCTCTCAGTGCCTCGTGCTGGAGGTGCAGTTCTGCCCTGTTGTCTCTCTGCTCTCCACCCACAGAGGGTACTACATCACCTACAAGGATGGGGAGGTCAGCCAGCCCATGATACAGCCCCGGAGCTGGGAGAACAGCAAGTTTGACTTCGACAACGTCTTGACTGCCATGATGGCCCTCTTCACTGTCTCAACCTTTGAGGGCTGGCCAGAGTGAGTGCTTCTTGGACCAGTGCAACACTAGCAATGTCCTCATTCATTTCAGAAGGAGTAAATTCAAATGCAGAGCGTAGTCTTTCCCATTCTGAGTGTTAAAATAAGTCTAAAGCATTAAATGTAGAAATAATAGCAGCAGTCATTGTAGTCATTATGTACTTGGTAAATTCCTCAGGGGCTGCAGGAATTTCTGTGCTTATAAACATCACAGAGCACTGTCTCTAGCTCTTAAAAGATGATTGCCAGTTGTAGCAGTGATACGAGCATTTGTTACAATTATTATGTATACAAATGGATATAAAATGCCTGTCAGGCACTTACCAGTGTTGCAGGTTTCCCGCTGGATGTCAGCAGGGCAACGTGAAATACAGCAGTCTGCAGTATTGGCAGACATGGGGTGTCTTACAGGCTGTGCTGTCTGTGCCACAGGAGCTGAGGACTCCCACAGAGTCACCTGGTCAGGGTGATGTGGGCATGCAAGTGCATCAGGGAGCTGACCCTGACCTGTGTCGCCAGGTGATGCCAAGAGCAGTGTTAACAAATGTTAACTCCTGAAATCCCCTTTTCTCAAAAAGCTTAGTTCCCTTCAACTCAGACTCTCCTGTCTTTTGTTAGCTGAAGGGCATGATTTTGTTCTAAATTGTAATTGTTCAGCTGTGAAAACATTTCACCCCTGAAGATGTCCAAATGTGTAAAGTTAATAAGAGCCACGTCTTCTCTTTTGCAAGTGTTTGCACACAGATCAGTGCCAGTCTGCACATCTGTGAGTGAATTGATACAAGCAGAAGAAAATCACAAAGTTAAACTTTATGACCTATAAGGCCTCAAGGCAGTTGCAGATTTTCTCTGCATTTGGCTCTGTTTGCTTTCAGGTTGCTGTATAGGTCCATTGATTCCCACATGGAAGATGTGGGACCCATCTATAATCACAGGGTTGAGATCTCCATCTTCTTTATTATCTACATCATCATCATTGCTTTCTTCATGATGAACATCTTCGTTGGTTTCGTCATCGTCACATTTCAGGAACAAGGAGAACAAGAGTACAAGAACTGTGAGCTGGACAAAAACCAGGTAATTTACAACACCTTGCTGTCACTAAAGTTAGAATAGGCACTGAGAATAAGTGTTTAATAGATAAATACCTACAGACAGGAACATGTGAAGCTTGCCAACAAGATAAAACAATAAGTTGGCTTTGCTGACACCTTTCAGGAGTCAGGTAGAAAAAAATCTTGCTCTAAGATTAGTTCAAAGGACAGCAGCTACTTTAAAATATTTGCTGTACCATTTGTTTCACTGAGATTAGATGAGCATGACACCATTGTCTGGCCAAAGTAAATGACCAAAGTAATTGCATATGGAACTCTTTGACAGGTAGAATATGCACATTCAATTATGACCTAAAAGTACCAAGCATTTTCATTTCTTTAAAAAACTTGAAACTTACTGTATCCTTATTATATTTGGAGGTAGTTGACCACTCTGATATTTTGGTTTTGAGTTTTAAATTTACCCTGCCTCTTTCACAGCGCCAGTGTGTAGAATATGCCCTGAAAGCCCGGCCCCTGCGGAGATACATCCCTAAAAACCAGTACCAGTACAAAGTCTGGTATGTGGTCAACTCCACCTATTTTGAATACCTGATGTTCGTTCTGATCCTGCTGAACACCATCTGCCTGGCCATGCAAGTAAGTAAGCAAGCAGAAAACCTTAAGGTGATCAATTAGGAGACTTTGTTGGGGAAAACATAAAAATGGCTAAGGTTGAGACCTACTTCCACCCTCATGCCATGTGTTGAGGGAGAGGAACAAGGACATGACAAAAAAATGTGATACTCTGTTCATTCCGATGATGTTTCACTAAAATGAGGGATCTACCTCTCATCCTCCCTGCTGCTAATATGTGACACTCTCAACAACTCTGTTTTACCTTTTTAAAAAGAAATGAGAGAAAACAAAAACAAAACCAAAAAAACAACAGTTACATCACAGACCATATCAGTGGCCACTGTAATAATAAATGACTTCTCAGTTCTGATTTGTGTTATATGAAATACAACAACAAGCCCAGAACTGCCACTCCCTGAGACCTGAATTTTAAATTTGGGCCTTTTCTGTGTTAAAAAGTAGAGAGCAAACATTTTGGCAAACAAGGCAATCAAGGAAACTGGAGAGAGAGGATAGGAAGGGCCTAGTATCTCCTTTATTCTCAGTTAAGGACCATAGAAACTGCCTAGAAAGAACCTGAAGAGGCCACATTGTCTATCCCACCACTTAAAGGCAGAATCTGCTCCACCTGAAGCCTTTCTTGATAGGTGCTTGCCTAACTTGCTTCACTACTGATGCTGGACTGCCTTAGTTCCAAGCTGCTATGCTTGTATTCATTTTCCTTACTGTGCAGAGGTCTTCTGAACATTGAATGTGAATCCACCAAAGAAACATTTGCAGCTGGATCTACAAGAACAGCACATAGAGGCATATGTAGGTGGAACAGCAGTAGAGGAAGGAGTCAAACCCTTTACTAAGTAGCCAGCTTATAAAAAAGAAGTCTTACATTCCTTTCAGTCAGGAAATGGACCCTTATACACACAAACTGTTTTGTACATTTCCCCAAGTTTGTACTTTGCTGGCTTGTTCCTTCCAGTCTGTGTCTGCCCAAGGCCTCGCTTACATCCCTTTCATTTTCAGTCTCAGACTGCACCTTTTAAGCCTTTCTCTACACTCTCAGTTTGCTGGGCCACTCGAGACGTGGTCTCTTCTACACTCCTTCTGCTTAAGAGCTGGTCTGTGTGTCACTCTCCTCCCTAAAACCCATCCTTCCTCCTCACCCAGTCAGGCTTTGAACTCTCTTCCTTGGTCCTTGGCCCAAACAGTCCAGATCATCACTCTTCAACCAGTCCTTCTCTCCCCCTCCCTTCACAGGCTCACAGCTGAGTTACTCCTGCCATGAATCATCTTTCCATTCTCTCTCTTCCCCTTCCATCTCATTCTCTGCTACACTTTTTTTTACTTCACTAGTTGTCCTTTCCTGTGAGTTCAATCCCCAGTGCATTCCTACACCAACTTTCCTTTTGACTGCGTTTTCCACTGGCTCAATCCCAATCTGCCCACCCTCAAAACCAGTCTCCCCTCAAAACCAGCGTGTTTCCTATCTCTCATTAACAGCCAAAATCTATATTCACAGGCAATTTTCACTGTATTATTTCCTCTCACTGTCTCCTACCCAATCTCACCAGACTTTCCTGCTTTTTCCTCATCTGGTCTGGCTCTTTTCCATGCCCATTGAAAAGTTCTTCTCTGTTCTTTTGCCTAAGGTCCAAAAAAAGGAGTGAGGCAACAAGAGCACAAGAAAGTGCTCTGCTCTCAGCTGAAGTCTCCCCCGCCCTGTTCACTCTGAAGTTGTGAAACACTCTCAGTTTCTGTGACAGTGGTGCAGGCTCAGGGCAGGTAGAGTTAGAAGATGAGAGATGTTTGCCAGCTCACAGGCAGGACACCATCCCTGGAGATTCTAGGAGTTCTGTATCCATCTTGAGAAAAGTACAGTTTCTCAAAGGTTTATACTGGGGCAAAATTTGAGTTAAACATCATAACAGACAGCAAACAAAAGGCACATGCCAATAAAATTCCTAATTTCTAAACAGAGTCCTGCAAGTACTAGAGTCCTTCAAGAAAAATGACACAAGAAATTCTGAAAATACCTCAACATTATATTTTCCCCTGGCCTTGCTTTCAGCTGCAGTTGAATTGTTTTAAACTGAAAATGCTTTGACTAAATTACCTTGAGCCAATACAGAATATGAAAATCCGTCCCATCTGGTTAATGTCTAATTAAAGTTAAGCAACTACAAGTGGGGTCTTGTAACATGAATTAGAAGATGACCTTAGAATAAGGCAGTGCAACCAGTCTCAAGTCTAGTGATCTGGAAATAGGGATTTCAAGAGTGAGGTGGCAACATTTGCAGAAGACGCTACGTGAATTAATCAATAGAAGATAGAGAGTAACTTCATAAGATCATAATAAAGTTAAGTGAACGGGCAGCATGATTGCAAATTTAATTCAGAGTTGACAAATGCAAGATAATGCATATTGGAAAGATATGATTTGAGCTGCTCATGTACTTTGCAGAATCCTGAATTAAGTGTAATTACTTGGGGAATGACTCGGTATCATTATGAACAGCTCAGTGAAACCCCTGTTTGCTGTGCAGTCGCAATCAGACAGAAAAGGGATCTTAATGTTACGGAAGGTTGAGATAACAAACACAATTCAAGATTGTCTTGTACCATTATGCAAATTTATAGTGAACCCTCAAGGGGAATGATAAGTGTGATTGTGGTAGCCACCACTCAAAAAGGTGTTTTTAAGAAAGAGGAGATCCAGAGCCAGGTGGCAAAAATGGCTAGAGGCATGGAAATGCTTATGTGTGAAAGGAGATGGGGATTCTTAATTGAAAAGCTTTGATGTGCTGGGGTCCTCTTTAGAGAACCTTGGCATAAAGGGAGATCAGGAGGGGTCCTGTGTGTTCCTACCCAGCTGGTATGTCTGATCCTCACGCTGCTGCTGGGGTGCTATTTTTCAGCACTACGGTCAGAGCTGCATGTTCAAGGAAGCCATGAACATCCTCAACATGCTCTTCACTGGCCTCTTCACTGTTGAGATGGTCCTGAAATTAATCGCCTTCAAACCCAAGGTAGGTGCTCTGGGCGTAGGTTTTCCTGGCCTCTGTGTGTGTGTGCATGTGTGCGGGGCAGCTCTGAGGAGAAGGAGGAGGTGAAACTTTCTGATCTATTACCCCACCAATAACTGAGCTGGACAGTTGCTCTCTGGATTGGAGTCTCACTTATATTTAATAACTTTTTCACTGGAGAGTAGACACACGTTTTAAAAAAAAAAAAAAAAATTAAAAAAGGCCACACCTGCAAATAGAGAAGGTTCCTAGTTCTCTGTTTTCATTGAGTTATAGTAGTAATGCTGTGTTAAGGCTATAATATGTTTTCCATTCTGAATGTTATTCTAATGCTCTCTCTCTGACTCTCCTTAAATAATTTATAAATAGCATCTCATGATTAGTCTTCTGACCCAAGTGAAGTTAATCAAGCATGACTCATTTTGAGTTTTGAGCTTTGGAAAAAAATGTTTCTTCTGGGAGGGCTACATCTCACTGATGGTTTGGATTGCTTCAGTTTTGCATTCAAGACTTCATTGATCATATTCAGTACCCCAGCAGGTCCTGTCTGAAGGTATTGCCCTGTGCATTGGGCCATGATATTATGCTAGCGTAGCTGCACCATGGGGTGTGATTATAACCTACAAGCTCTTCCAACTAAGTTCTCACAGCTGCTGCAGGACAAGGACAAAGATCCTGACCTCACATAATCGCACAAGACTTTCTTTTTTGGGGTTTAAACTCAGTGGTGTGTCACAAGGAGGCGAATCCAGATACCTAAGTACAGCTCCCTCGTGCCATTTCATATGTTCAATGATTCTTTGACATGTGGAGTTGTGTCTTGAGGGAGACCTTGATACATTGTGTGGGTAGTAAATGGTGTCTGAAACATCAGTTATGACATTGGTAAAGATGAGAACATTTATGTCTGGCAGTTGTGCTTGTCCTTCATGTTAAATATTTAGGGGATCACTGAAGTTGGCTCCTCCCAGATCTAATCTAACATCTTCCTCATCCTCAGCTCAGAAACTTTACTCTCCATTTCTACTGAATTTGGTCTTATTTTTCATTTTTAACTCTGCATTGACTTTACTCTCACCCAGCCTCTTTCTCTTTCTTCCACACTTTCTAGGACTTCTTCTTGGAATAGTCAAAATTTTATTTTTTATCTGAGCCCAATACCACTCTCCTGTCTCAGCTGTAGTTCTCTTGAAAATTAGGAGCATCTTGTGCAGTCCTATTGAAGACTGATTTTGTTTTGTGAGATCTCAAACACTGTCTTAGGAATTTTAGAAGTATCATTATCTGTTTCAGCAGGAATTGTAGTTTTCAGGAGGGTTCTACCTTTCAATCTTGAGGTTTCACCATGTCTATTAGCAAGAAATTCTCTGGCACTGTAGGAAAATTTTATCTGCACACCATATACCCAGAAGTGTGTCTCACAGGCTTTGTAATGTTCTTCTGATTTCATGGTTCTACTTTAGAGGAGATTCTTAACTTTCAGAAAGATGAGATTCTCAGGAGAATTTTGGGTTTAAACATTTAGGGGGAAAGTTCAACCAAGTCAAACATTGAGCTCTCTACATATAAAAGGATGGCTACCTGACGTGATTGCCTCTAACACTAAGGAGTTGGCATTGATGATATTGGAGGTCCTTTCAACTTCCTGTGCCTCACCTTCCTGTGTTCAATCTCCTTTTCAAGTTTTTCTGCACAGTAAAGTATAAAAAAAATCACCCTGAGGGTAAACATGTAACCTCTGGATGGCAAAACTGTCTAAGGGATTTCCTAAATAGGGATTCCTAGATTGTGGAATCTCTATAATTTGAGATTTTAAAATGAAGTTAGGGAGGAACCTTTCATTCAAAACTGTTTAGGAATGTATGATCTGCCTTGAGAGAGGCAACTGGAACAGAACATCTGACAAGGTCCCTCTCAGACCAATTTTCCATTATTCTGTAATTTCCAAACTAAATCCTCAGCCTACTGCAATATTGAGAATATAGAAGAAGTTTTCCTTGTGACCAGAATAGCAGAGTCTTCATGAAGTCCTCTCAGCTACGACCCAGAAACTAATCTAGAGTTCAGTCCCTCCCATCCTGAAGGAATAGCCAGAGAAAAGAAACAAATGTTTCAAGTCCTGGTCTGGCCTGTATGCCAAAGATAGTGCTAACTCTTATACCACTATTGTAATTAAATACCTTAATATAAATTAGCAGAAGTTTAAAAATGGAACCAAAGGATTTACAGGAAAGAAAAATAGGAATGAACTTGTGAAAGCAACTAATGCGGCAAAAAGACTTGCCTCCAGCAGTATATTCACACTGGATGATATTGAGTACCAGTTCAGTGACTCAGGTTTGGAAACTCCAGATTCCTTGTTCAACTTGCCATTGTCTGTTCAGTACAAGGATTTGGCCTGCAGCCTTCATTCCCTGCTCCATATTGACTCAACTTGCTCTCCACAGAAGGCAACCCCCTCTCCCAGATGACCACTTGGACTGATGTGCACCAACACTGGGGCAACAATCTGCTTTTCTTCAGGCTGCACATTGGGATTGAAGCTGGAGTTGTCTAGAGTATGTTCTGAACTAGGAGCCCCCTAGCATGGAGAAAGTAGCTACCTCAATCTTCTGCTTGGCCAGACCTCGTTGTCACCCAAGGTACAAAAAACAACCTGCATTTGCAGATGGAGGCTGTCCCTAGGAACAGCAACTGGAAAAGTCCAAAAGGATTTTCATTGTCACTGGGTGAACATCAGTAAAGCACAGCCATCACCCTCTCTCCTCTAACCAACCAAGTCCCCTCAACAAAGAAGTGAGATGCTGAGTGATATTAGTGTTTCCCAGATGGGAAGTGGCAAGATTAAATGCTCATCAGATCCCTGCTGGAGACAGATTCGTCTGTCATTTCCTGAGCAACAAAACACAAACCAGCCTTTGTTTAAGCTGCTTTGTCTCATTTTGAATATGTGCCCAAACATCACTCTTTTCTATCTGAAGACTACCCTAAAATAAAAGAGCTGTGAGATTTATGACTGACAGCAAGAAAGCAAGAAACTTGGTTAACTGAAGGTGTTGTGTTCTAGTGACAAGCCCCAGGAGAATGTGGCAGAACAGAACTGAGCACAGGACTGAAGCTGGCAACATTCAGTCTGTTATCTGCATTTTTTTTTGGGTGCTTATCCCCGCAGTGGGTGCTGCAGCCAACCTTCAACCACAGCAAGCAAAGTGGGATCTGACTTGTGGCTCTGAAGCAGCCGCCACAGAGCTCTCCATTGCACAGTCACTTCCTAAAGGCACCTTGGAAGGAACGGTCTGCAGCAGCAACAGAGAATAAGGTTTTCTCCACCTGCACAAGGTGGAACAAGCTGCTGTTTATTCATACCTTTACCAGGGAGAACTGGAAAGGAAACTAGGACAGATCCCTGAGGTACTCAGCTCTGCTATCACACCACCTTCTTACCGTCACCGCAGGGATGTGCCCATGCAGAACAGCTTTGGGGGAAGCCTAATAAGCAGAGTTCCTGCTGCAACCCATGGTGTGGCCTTCACTATTGTAGACTCATAGATTTATTTGGGTTGGAAACGACCTTCAAGATCGTCGAGTCCAACTGTTAACCTGCCGCTGCCAAGTTCCACTAAATACAATGCACTCCAGTGCTACCTCTGTATTACATGCATAGCCACAGAAAAGATGGCACGTCGTCTCTGACTGAATGGATTTTTTTTTTACTGTATTTTTTATTTCTTCACTGTTTCTGTGAGGAGAGATGTCCTTATTTGCTACTCTTGATAGTAAAGGTGAGAAAAAAAAGCAAACGCAGTCATCTGCACAGATAATAAGCAGGATCACATACGTGCCTGCAGGGATAATCCAGCCCTACAACTAGTTCTTGTGGTAAGAGCAAGGCTTTACTTATTGAAAGGCCAGCTGTAGGAATAAGGAGCCAAGTCCAAGTCAGGGCTTGTCTCCTAACACTTACAGAAAATATGTGAAGGGGTAGAAAGACAAGGGCTTTCCTAACTAAACATGCTGTTACTGTTGAGAGCAGTTGCTCTAGTCAGCAAGTCACTTTTATAGTTGCCCTTTTCACTGGCCATGCTCTGTGAGCAGTGTTTTGGTTTGCTCAGTTTCCAGAGAGGCTGTAGAGAAGAGAGGTGCTGCAGCAGCTGCTGCTGGGGTATAGATAGTGCATGCCAGGCAGACACAAGGCCAGCTTCTTGAAAGCCCCTGTGTTTCTGTGTGACACTTCTTCTGGCGGTGAGGATCAGTTACCCCATTTTTTTTTGTGGGATTAAGAGCTGTGTAAGACAGCTCATCCATGTCTGGGTGCAGTGTTGTCAGGAGGGTGTGCTAACAGTGAGCAAGAAAGATTTGGGATGATTAGGGCTGCTAATAAAGAAAACATCCACTACATGCCCTGCATCTCCTTACAGAGTATTAATATGCTGCTTGAAGCAAAACTCCCAAATGGACCTCAGTGTTTGTCTTGGCTGATGCTCATAAACTGATTCAAGACTACTTACTTCAAAGAGACAGACAAGCTAAAAGTAACGCTGTTGAGCCAAGGCCTTTTGCTGCTTTGTTTTTCTAATTTTATGTATTCTCCAGCCAGTCTGGTGAGCTATTTTCCAATTCCTGCATGGAGAAATCTGCTGCTGCTGCTTCGTGCTTTTTCCAGAGAAAACTACTAAAGGGAATGAGGTGCTGTGCTGCCTGGGGTGCTCACATCTACCACTGTCCTGCCTTCTTAAAGAAGAAATCCCCACAAGCACCAGTCCATGAAGGGCCAGCTGCTCTACAAAACCTGCCTGGGGTTTATCTTTTCAAGTCAAAGACAGCAACTTAAAATTCCTATTCATATGAAGCTGTGCCATCTGTCAATGTACATGCAAATGTGAGGATGGATATTCCTCCAGGAATTTCAGATCTTTCCAGCTCCCTGGAATGGGCTGTTTTACTGATGAACCACATACACTTCTTCTTTCAGGAAACATTTCTTCTGCCCCCTTATTAGCTAG